TTACTATCCTAGAAAGTCTTTCCTCCCAAAGATGTAGATATAATCCAAAACCGGTTGCCACCTCATACATCTCCATTGTAATCCTCATCAAATTTAGGTTTCTTCACACCAAAATCTAAATTTTGATTGTTCTGAGGATCACCCCCTTATATGTATGCTTCATCCTCAACTTCTAAGACCTCGATAGCGAGAATTGTTGGATCTCCTTGACAAGTATGGAAGCAAATGGTTGATGTCCCATTGAGGAGAAAGATAAGAGCTTCAACAAACACTTGGTCATCCTTCTTAGTCCAGCCCATAATCAAAGTTGAAACCAAAGTCCCTTCAATAGATATGTCGAAAATGGTTTTTTTTTCTTTCTCAAAACATGTCTAGTTAACCAGCCCAAAGAAGATCCTGACAGAATAGTGGCCCACTAGCACTCTGACCAGGTTATAATAGTTGGTTGGTCCAGCAGATTCTGGGAAATAGTGCATCGTTTTCAAGGATGGAGTGATGTTACTTAATGTTGTTGCATTGGTAGCTAATCCTCCTGTAAAAGTTGTATCCTGTTGGGGTCGGATTTCACCCATATCTTGAGACCGAGCCAAACATCGATAGGAGAAACAACTCGGCATATGTTCTCTCTACTCCGTTGCTTCGGAGACTTCCTAATCGCCTTAGGAGATATTCATCACCACGAGATGCAGCTCGGCCACCTCGGGTACAAGTTATACTATCATTACACCCGAGCCGGTTTCACCTCGGGTACAAGCCCGAGGCAACTTCACCCGTGTTCCTAAGCCAACTTCACCCGTGTTCCCGAGCCAACTTTGCCCGTGTCCCCGAGCCCAAATCGCCTAGGGGTACACCTCAAATCGCCTAGGGGCACACCTCACATCGCCTCGGGGTACATGCCAAATCGCCTAGGGGTACACCTCACATCGCCTAGGGGTACAGTTCACATCGCCTCGGATACAGGCCACTCAGGCGCCCTCTCCTGAACCAATCACACCAGTCACCCGAGGTGAAGTCCTCAGTCACCCCGAGGCGAAGTCTTCAGAGTGACCCGAGGCGAAGTCTGCAGAGTCACCTGAGGCAAAGTCTTCAGAGTGACCCGAGGCGAAGTCTGCAGAGTCACCCGAGGTGAAATCTTCAGAGTCACCCGAGGCAAAGACTTGGTTAAACATTCACTTCCATAGTATCACTTCCGAATAGAACGGCATCATTTCCGAAAAAGAAGGATCATTTCCGAGATACTCGGAAATGATAAGGAATAATCTTGAAGGATCTTTGCAAATCAGGAAATCTTCCAAAAGCCTCCGAAGAATAAGGAAAGTATCCTTATCCGCAATATTCTAAGACGACTCCGAGGAAAATGGAAATCTTCCGAGAATATCGGTGGAGAGGCGGTTTACTATCCCTATATAAAGCGACTCAAGGTCTTCACAAAAAGGGGACAAGCAATATCGCTCTAGAATTTACACTACGCAAAGCTCTCATAGCACAAACATCTTTTCTTTTACGATCAAACTCTTGTACGATCAAAACTACTCTTTTCATCAATAAGATCAAGAACACCATCTTTGGTTACAATTGTTTCTGTTGTTCTTTGAGAATTCACATTTATCGTATCCCTAAATTAAAACCCTAGACAAATCTCGATTGTGTTAGTTTCGACTTCCACATATCCTTGTGCCACAGTCTGTAACTTGGTGGCGATTTGACACTTTGAAGAGCACCACAAATGATCCGGATTGAATGTAGCTCTAAAAAGCAAGGAAAATCAAACTGATCCAACAAGAGAATCTCGAGGAGAATCAAATCAATATTCAAAGCCTTTGTTGGTCTGATTATGGAATATAAGAGCATTCATATACTAAAGCCATCAAAACTATCCCAAGTAAATTTAACTCAGCTCTAAACTAATCAGCAAAATAAGAACTTGCAAATTATCAGTTATTCAAAGACATTTCTTTGTTGGTCTGATTCTGGAATATAAGAGAACTCAGATACTAAACCCACCAAAACTATCCCAAGTATCATCAAAATAAAGTGATTGTTTGAGAAACTTTACAAGATTCTGAAAAACTAATCAACAAGATTATAGAAAACTCTCTAACAATTCTAGAATCGTTCACTTGTTTACTTTCTATGGTTTTATTAAAGTCATCAAGATTCTTTGTAAATTAGGAACCAATAACACCCCCTTAACTTAGCTCTACTACTCAGCAAAAATAGGAACTTTGCAAATTTTCAGTTATTCAAAGACATTCCTTTGTTATCCTGATTCTGGAATATAAGAGAACCCAAATACTAAACACACCAAAACTATCAAAGTAAACTTAACTAAGCTTTAAACTAATCAACAAAAATAGGAACTTTGAAAAGAAATGCTAACCTGGTTGAGCCAAGGAAGATGAGAGAACAAACGCCGAAATGAGAACACATGCGAGAGCAAAACGAAGCATCGTCGTCATCCTTGAATCTTCGACGATGCAAGTTTAGGCGGACCTAATCTATATACATATAAACTTGGGTATTGAGCAAAAAAACAACCTCCAAATATCAATTTTTTTTTTTTTTTTGCAATTTTACTCTTAATTTATAAAAATATGTAAATCAACCCCACAAAATCTAATTTAACCCGCAATATAAGTCTTGGTCACTAGTTTCAATTTGTCAAATCGAAACCTTGCGATGAGAAGTCTAAATCTTTTTTTTTTTGTCATCCGAAATTAATTAACACTAAAAAAAGCCATTCATCGGGAATGTTGTTTACATATCTAAAAATACTTTAATGAATGTGGCCGTACAAACTCTCTAAAAATACACATAAGGTTTATATTATGCATTAAATTATTGCAATGGAACAGAGGTGAAAATCGGGGAAAAGGGCCTATTTCCACCCCTACTATTTGGACGGTTCCGTTTCCTACCTACACAACGAGTTGGTGCTTATTTCAATAGTTTTCGTAACAAATTTCAAATTAACTACCCATACTCTGTGTTTATAGTTGAATTCAACATTGACTCAAACGGACATTAGTCAACCGTTAAAATAGTAGAGTCGGATGACACGGTGGCAATTCAAAAGAGGGAAAAGATCCTATTTCCACCCTTACTAATTGAACGGTTCCTTTTCCTACCCACACAACGAATTGGTGTCCATTTCAACAGTTTTTGGAACAAAATTCAAATTAACCATTTGAAATTTGTGATGACAAGATTATTTTAAGAGGATTTAGCATTAACTACAAAATAGTAGTTGGCTTTATATCCATGATTTAGATATAAAATAAATACATGTAATTCTGTGTCACTATATATTAAATCTGAATATAGAGTAGATCTTTGCGAATTATATATAAGACATTTTTTTTTATAAAGGATTAAGAGATGAATATCTAAAGACTTGATGGTGTTGATATTTTTATTGGTGTTTCATTCTAGTAGAATGTGTTTAATGTTTAGTGCTGCTAGATTTATCTTTTATCACCGAAATCTAAATAAAATCCTGAATATAAAGTTGTCAGAATTACACAAAACGATGTTGGAAAATATGTGTTATTGATATAAGACGGCTACATACATATATATACTAGTTAGGGAACACTAACCCTAATTACATAAATATTAAACCTAATAAAGCCTATAATCAAAGGCCTGATCTGATTCTAATCATAGGCCTGATATCAAGGGTTTGATCCGGCCCTATTACACCTCCCCCCTCTCAAGTTGGAAGTGTGTAGATTAAGAACACCCAACTTGCTGAGAAAATCTTTGAACTCTTTCTGTCCCAAAGCTTTGGTGAAGATATCAGCCAGCTGTGCATGAGTCGAAACATGTTGCGTTGAAATAGTACCCTTAACAATCTCATCCCGCACAATATGACAATCAACCTCAACATGTTTAGTCCTCTCATGGAATACATGATTAGCACTAATATGGATCGCAGCTTGACTATCACAAAACACGCTCATTGGACGTGTCATCACAACTCCAAGATCCGTCAACAAACCTTTGATCCACAAGAGCTCAGCAGTGAGCATTCCCATAGCTCGATATTCTGCTTAATTTGAAATTTGTTCCGAAAACTGTTGAAATGGGCACCAATTCGTTGTGTGGGTAGGAAAAGGAACCGTTCAAATAGTAAGAGTGGAAATAGGACCTTTTTCCCTCTTTTGAATTGCCACCGTGTCATCCGACTCTACTATTTTAACGGTTGACTAACGTCCGTTTGAGTCAATGTTGAATTCAACTATAAACACAGAGTATGGGTAGTTAATTTGAAATTTGTTACCAAAACTGTTGAAATAAGCACTAACTCGTTGTGTAGGTAGGAAACGGAACCGTCCAAATAGTAGGGATGGAAATAGGCCATTTTCCCATGAAAATCGATGTTGATTAGTTTTAGTATCTTTGGGCTCCAGCTACGTTCATTAGGGAGAATCAGAATGAAACCTTACAAATGGAGATTGTTACTGAACCAAATAATTTCAACAAAAGGACTTCTCTACAAACATACAATTCTCTAGGAGGCGGATAGAAGACATAAGCCTTTCTAGAATTCGACCGTCACCACCAAATTTTAGTCTTAGTTTCATTCATAAAGTTTTTAACATCTTTGAAAAATATTTCCGATATACGTAATAATTTAAATATTTGAATACATTATCACAATAATTTAATACGTAAACACAATCAAATAATTTTTGTAATTTAATACATAAATATAAAAGTTTGTGGAAAATAAATTTCGTCTACGACATCACAGGGATTCATAACCTAGTATATATAACTACGAGATATGAAATGCGGTATCTCTTACTAATAAAAGGATAGTTTGAGGCTTCTCAGCCTAGCTACATCAGCTTTCTCAACTACTACCTTATCAATTGCCACGTCATCAGAATCACTCAGCTTATCCACGTCACCATGCATAGTCTATTGCGAGACTTTAATAACCAATAATGAAAGGCATCAAAAAAATAAAACTCAATTAGCCTAAACTGGCGTTATAACTCATCACCCACGATAGAATTCACGATCTCTTCAGTTTTCTCTACTCAACATACGTACAATTGGTTTGTGATTCGAGACGGGATAGCGTGGTATGATTTTTCTAAACATCTCCAACCTCTTTGGGGCAGACGATAGGTAGGATTTAGCTATTCTTCTTCTCTTTTGCTTATTATTCAATTTTATTGGGGTTTCACATCAGTCTACATGTTAAATACATGTTGTTTTTTCATGTAGAGGCATCAATCGATGGTATGGTGTGGTGATGATGTACCATCGACTGCCAATTAGGGTTACCTCATCTTTTTCAGTTGATAACTTCCTGAAAGTTCAATTTGTGCCCCTTCACATTCTTCCTATGATTCTCTTATCTGGAGTACCTATAGGCTATAGGTTTGTATTATTTTTAGTTTCCGCTTCATTTTTGATGCAAGGACAAAGAAACATCATTTGGGTTTTTGTGGGTAGATTTCCGTGTGCTATTACACCATTTGATCATTCACGATCACTTCCATTACGAGCATTTGTTAATCTATTTTACAATTAATATTAGAGTCACAATTTTAGAAAGCGTGTGCGTGTGTTTATGTTTCGTAAGTTTTGGTTCAGTGCTTTTCTAGCACATGTATCTCTCTCTTCTATTTGGATATAAATTTCACTTCGTAAAGGTTTCCAGAAAATCATAAAATGTATGAGTTAAATTGTCATATGCAACTTCAAAAAGTGTCTCACCTTCATACTGTTTTTATTTTGATTGGGTTGTAAGCAGTTCTTAGGGACTTCATACAAAGGTTTGCATGTTACTCTTATTTATTGGCAATATCTTTTCTTTTTCCCAAGGAACATGATGAAAACCAGAGGAAGTTTAAGCTTTTGGAGCTAATTAATGAAGGCTAACAAAAAACACTTCTGAGAGCAGAGGAAGCTTAGGGGGTTTATTTGGAACACTGATATGTAAGGAGCCGTAGGGAGAAAAACTCCTTACATGGAGTTTGCTTCTTAATACAATGAGTTAGATCAATAACTATAACTATAACTATACAATGAGTTAGATTAATTGAGGATATTTCTAACATACACTATAACTATAAGATCTCGACTTCTAAGTTCTGAAGTTTTATAATTTGTTTTGGGAAACAAGTTTTATAAGTTCTGATTTTTTTCTTAGCTACCTAATACGTAGTTAGTCATCATATGTTTTACAAGTTCAAAAGCATCCTAACCATTCAAATTTCACACTTTGTGGAGTTAGAAGCTTCAACGGTGATACTAAGGAGGGGTTATTGGTTCATAGATTTATATGGAATTAGAAATCCAAACAAAAATCATTTGTTATTCAATCATTGATTTTAAAATCCTAATTAAATTCATGTGTTATTGGTTCTATGATTTATAAATACTATTTAAAATCTTATGTTATTCGTTTAGTCATTTGTTTTTGGATTTGAGAATCCAAATTATGTTTTAAATGGAATTGAATGGAATTGAAAGAGAAAAATAGAAGGATTCAAATCCATGGGTAAACACATGTTATTTCAAAATCCATATATCTTGATTTCATAATTAATAGAAATTTTCAAATTTTATATGGATTTACAAATTAACAAACTAATAACACCCCCTAAACTTTTAGATACAAATATAACAATTGTCAAATAATACTTAAAATTTTACAATTGTCAAATATACGCCCGGACTAACCCCTAGTTCTATATAAAAGTGTTATGTACATTTAATATTGTAAAGTAAGTATAACAAAAATAATTTGGATAAATCGACGAACAACAAAGTTGAAAAAATAATTTAGAAGCACTTTTTTTTTGGGATCAAACATGGTTTAGCTTTGGTCAATTTTCAATTCTAGCCTACCTTAATCGGAAATACCAAATACGTATATGGTTCGGAATATGAATAGCAAACACATTCCAATGTCTGGATTTAACCGTGATCCTCTCTCCTCAATATCTATACTAGTATTTTTGCAACACTTTCAGTATTTGTAAGCTCTGAAACAAACTTTTCATCTTCCATCTCAAGCATATCAAACCCTTTCTTGAGAGTAACAGCAGCTTGCAGCATCATAAAGGTCGAATTCCATCTTGTTTCAACATCTAAACAGAGACCAGCCTTTGATTCAACCTTTTGAATCTCTAAACACTCATTAAACCTTTTCAGCCTACTAGGAGAAGATCGAACATACCTAACAGCTGATCTAACCTTTAAGATTGAAGCATTTTTTTCTTGAAGACCATCTCTCACAATCAGACCTAAAATATGTGCTCCACATCGCATGTGCAGAAATTCTCCATCCAAGATTGTTGTTCCCCATGATGTCAACTTTCTTTTCAAGTATCTTATTGCAAGATCATTAGAACTTGCATTATCTACTGTAATGGTGAAGACCCTTCTGATTCCCCAGAAAACCAAACACTTGTCAACCATTTTACCAATGGTTTCACCAGCATGATTATCAACAATGCAGAAATTTATGATCCTTTTGTGCAGCTTCCAATTCTCATCTACATAGTGAGCAGTTAGACACATGTAGCTCATGTTCTGTATGGATGTCCAGCAGTCCGTAGTCAGAGAAATACTGCCATTATAGTTTCTGAAAAACTTTCTCAATTTGCTCCTTTCATCCGCGTAAAGCTCCAAACAATCTTTAGCCACAGTTTGACGACAAGGTATAGCAAAACGTGGTTGAGCAATGCTCATAAATCTTATGAATCCCCTATGCTCGACAAATCTAAAAGGCAGCTCATCCATAATGATCATTTCCACTAATCCCTTACGGGTTGCTGGTTGACTAAATGGCATAAAAGATGGAACTTTACTCCCTTCATCCGTACACTTACGATGAAATAATGTTGATTGCTTCAGCTTTTTACCTTCATTTTCATCTTCATCTTCTTCTAGAATAATCAGCTTGCATGTCTTGATGTGGCCTGTAAAGATGAGAACTTGTTTACAATCAAATGAAGATCAAAAGTAACTAAGGTTTTGACTCTAGTCAAGTTAAGATTGGGTTAAGTTACTTTTGGGACCACAAAGAGGAGCCTTTGTGTTTTGTCATCTTGTGCACTAGGTTTAAGGATGTCTCCTTGTATTTAAGTAGTTGGGGACGTGAGAGAGATTGTAGCAGCACACAATGTAGAAAGAGGGTGAGAGAGGAACACATAGAAAGCATTAGCTTTGGGGTGGGTTTTCTCATTAGAACAAGGGTGTGATACAGAGTATTAGTGTGTTAGCGAGAAGGTGTTTTCACATTGTAATATCTCTTGTATCTTTGTTCATTTCTAGTGGATTCCGAGACAAGGTCTCGGCGAGATGTAGGTAGTGTCACATTGACACTGCTGAACTCGTTAAACGTGTGTGTGCTCCCTTCTTCTCTATTCTCATCTCTAATATCTCTCTGCTCTGTTTTCTTGCTGCAACATAAGCCTCTCTGTTTTAACAAATCCGTTTTTGCACCAAACTACTTTAGTCTTGGTTGTATGAGGTTCATGCTCTAGAAAGTTTAAGTCTTTTGAGCTTCTGAATTCTCAACAAGTGGTATCAGAGCTTAGGTTCTGTGTATTGTGGTTCTCCAAGCCAGAGAATCATGTTTTGTCAAGAAAAGAAGTGGTAGAGTTTGGTGCTTGTGGAAACTTTGCTATGCGGAAGGAGAAACTCATGGATACCCTGCAGTTTCTAAGCATGAGTGAAGCGTTGAAGATGACTGAGATTTCAAGAAGGAAAGTCTCAGATCTAAGAGAAGTAGAAGCAAAAAGAGAGAAAGAAGATTCAGATCTAAGAGAGAAAAGATCTAGAGAAAGAAGGAGAGTGAAGAAAGGTGAAAAGGTTGGATCTTTGGAAAGCTAGAGCAGCAAGGCTCCTTTGCTTTAAGCATCCATGACCTTTCTGTGGAGAGCTTGTTTGTGCAGAGACAAGAAGCGTCTCAGGTGCAAGAATCAAACAGAAGCTCTTGGTAAACAGTGTAGAAGAGATAAAGATGTCATAAAACTCTATCTTGGTGGAGCACTGTTGGGTTTTCTCAGGTGTTGAGAAATATTGTGGAGACATGAGTGTCTCTGGCTCTAAAAGCAATCTAAGTCTCTTGGAAAAGAGCACGAACCAGTGGAGAAGGAGTTATAGGACTCGGTCTGGTGACAATAAAGCATCTCATTCACATCATCTAAAAGAAGCAAAAGTTGCAGGTTTTCTAGTTGCTATCTTAGAAGCAGTTCCTGTTGAAACAGGAGAAGAAGTAACAGAGGTAACTCCAGAGACTATTTCAGAGCTGTTGCAGAGCCAACGACAGTTACAGAGACAGCTACAGAGACTGTCTCAGAGGTTGCTGCAAAAGCTCAGGTTATGGTTTGTAGTTGAGTGTGAAAGTGAGATGTTAACAAGTTGTACCATAAGGAGAGATTCATATATAGCAGAAGTTTTGAATCAAGTGAGGTGATTTCTAGGTCATGAAATCAGGTTTCCTCTAAGTTCTTAAAGGGTACAAGAAGCTGCAACATAGTGAGAAGGATTTATAATCACTCACAAGTCAACATGTTGCTAGCACAAAGAAAATTCAGAGATGAATGAAAGAAATACGTGATCAAAGATGGTCTTCTTGATCACTGCTGAAGAAACCGATCAGAGTTTATGTAGGAATCAAAACATAAACTTCAAGACTCAAATTATGGGAAATTTCAAGTCTAATTCCGCTGCAGTCACAAGGTGTTTGTGATGCTCTGTATTGAAGTTTCAGATTTGCTCAAGTTCTGCAGGTTTATGGGAGTTGAAAGCTGGTTAACACAAAGGCAGTGTTATGATTTTGCAAGCGATTGGCCAAGATTCAGTGATGGTTTCAGGTCAACATTTGTGTGGTAAAATCAGTTGCAGGTGGTGTTTAAATACTGTTGTAATCGCAGCCTCGGAAACTCATAACATTCATGGGACTAAGGGACGCCTTAGAAGCTTGAATTTTACGTGTATTAGGCTGTGGAGTATCAGTAAGGTTTTCTGGATTCTCTAAAAAGGGTTTTGCAGATCAGAATTGGGTGAATCAGAGAATGAAGTTTGCTAGAACAGGAACAAGTTTGTTGGAACAACAAAAGCTGTTATTGTTCTGTATCGAGAAGATGTGCTGGAGCACTGAAAAGTTGTTGGTATGTCAGTGTTATTATCGGTATAAGCTGATAAAAACTGGAAGTCTCGAGGTGTTCACTTCAAGGGTTTGGCTGAGTTTTGAAAGGGGTTTCGGTTGTAGGTTTATCTCTGTGTGTAGTTCTCAGTTCTTGTGAATGAAAGAGTCTATAGGTTGTGGATTATCAGAGAACGTGAAGCTACAAGGCTGCTATTTTCAGAGGGAATGCAGCGTCATTTGTAAGTCCATTTGTTTGGTGTAAGCTGGACAGTTTGTGGTTGTAGGTCATGAGAACGAATTCTCTTGACAAGGTAGTGGCAGCATAAAAGATTCATGTTCTACGCAAATTTGTGTTTGGCATAACACATGGTGATTTTGCTTAAGGAACATGGAGTTCTTATCTCGGGTGGAGCAATATTTTCTCAGAGTGTATCTTGTGTTTTGTGTTTTTTGGATCAGATCTTCAAGTGTTAAAAGAAGCATCTGATGGTATGCAATTGGCTGTACTATTTTCTTGTGTCGAAAGTCTTCCTAGCCAAAGGGTGTTAGGCGGCGTGTCCTGTTCGTTTGAACAGCGGTGCAAGATAAGTATATAGTGGAATTGGCTACAGGAAAGTACAAGATTTTATTTATGAGATTGAGGTATGGTTTGATGGTGTATCAGCCTAAGTTGTTTCACAATTAGATCATGAAGAATGTTCCAAGTAAAGAGAGGACAAGGCTGCAGAAATTAAAGACAAGTTCTTAGTGGTTTTCTAGTTGCAAATGGATCATTTGAGGTGGCTGAAGGAAGAAAGAAGATGTGTCTCATGTTTTGACACACTTTCTCAAGCAAGTAATCATGGTGATTCATAAGAACGTGGAAATGAATCCAAGATACAGTGAAAAGTGGCTTTAACTCAGATTGGTGAAGCTCAGCTTATAGAGACAAAGTGCATCCAAGGGTTATAGTTTCAGGTGGAGTATTGTTGCTACAAAAGGAGCAATGCATATCTAAGGATATTTTTTCCTTCATGGTGGAGCTATGTTTGTGGATGGTGTCTCGGAAGGTTAGCTGAAGATAAAAGAGTTAAATGGCTGTGTAACTCACTAGTTTATCAGATTCATGGAAGTTCAGTATGCTAATAAGAGAACAAGTCAAGAACAGTTTATTATCAACGGGTTTTTCAGCTCAAAGAAGGTTATAGTCTGAGGGTACAAGGCTGGTTACAATTTTTGGTTTTGAAGCTGATTGTTGGTGATGATATCCAGAAACAGAGCTGCAGGTTTCTATGAAAGAGTTGCAGGTTTTTTGAAAGCTTTTTTCAGAAGATCCTAAGATGTAAACAAAGATGAAGACATTGAAGTGGTTAAGTGAGTTCTCTAAAGGAGAAACTGAAAGGAGACAAGCACGAGTGTTGCAGGAGTTGTCTCAAGGCTGTTCACTTCGGGAATGTGAAAGTGTTGTGTATCAAGTTTGATAACAACCCATCTCAAAGCTGGTCTTGGTAACTGAAAAAGGAATCCTATGAAGGATGTAAATGCAGAGAATGCATTTGGAAGACAACAACTAAGGAGTTTTTTTTTTTTAGTTTTGGTTGTCTGCATCAAAGGGGAGTATATGTAAGTATCCTCTCAGAGAAAGATACTTGCAGGCCATTCAAGTGGAGTATCTTCAAGTATCATATGATGATAAAGAAGAAAAAGACTTTGGTTAAGTCTGAAAATTGGATGATGCAAGGTTCAAATCATTTGGTGGAGGTCCGCAGGTTTTGCAGGACTGTACTACAGTAGAAAGTGCATCAGAATTCTAGAATGGATGTGAAAGGTGCTGTAAGGATTGTCTCAGGGTTATCACAAGGTCTTGTTGATGTGAGACAGGTTTAAAGATTGCTGGTAGTGGTTAAAATCTGCTGGTAAAGGCTCTGTTTAAACATAACAGTTGAACAAAGGATGTGTTCTGGATTGGTTTTGTTAAACAGGTTTGTAAAAGTAATCTCAGGTTTCAGTGGTTCTTAACGGGCTGATGAGATTGTCTGCAATGGTGAATCAAGAGCTTCAAAGCTGAAGCTAAGATGATTCAGATACTGCATAAGATTCAGAAAAAAGATTTGATTCAAGGCTCAGTGCACATGAGATGAATCAAGTAGTCGACAAAGGAATCAGGTTTGCAGAACGAAAAAAAAAGGATGATTACAATCACTGATACATGTGTGTGGTCCTAACAGAGGCCATGGTGGAGAATGTGTGATTGCACGTTTCATAGGTGGTGAAGCTTATGGAGTTTTCTGTTGATATTAACAAGTTGGAGGCGTTTCGTAACTTGTTAATGGAGTTTTCTGAGCGGTGATATCAAGTATTCAGGAGTTGAATGCATCATAGAAGGTGATCAGGGAAGAGTTGAGCTTAATGCAAAACTGCATTGAAGCTGGGTTTCACAACTCGTGATCTAAAGATGTGTTGATGGCTCAGGTTCAGCAGTGTGAGCAGTCACAGCTGAAGTGTATTGAATATAAGTTTAATGCAGGAAGGATCAAGCAGGTTTATAGTGTTTTTTAAACTGCTAAGGATCAAAGGCTAAGTAATGATACTCAGAGCCAAGACTGAAATCCAAGGTTCAGGGTTCAAAATCTCTCTCTTCAAGCTAAGTGCAGGCTGGTTTAGGATTGATCAACATGTTCTCAGGTGGAGATTGTAAAGATGAGAACTTGTTTACAATCAAATGAAGATCAAAAGTAACTAAGGTTTTGACTCTAGTCAAGTTAAGATTGGGTTAAGTTACTTTTGGGACCACAAAGAGGAGCCTTTGTGTTTTGTCATCTTGTGCACTAGGTTTAAGGATGTCTCCTTGTATTTAAGTAGTTGGGGACGTGAGAGAGATTGTAGCAGCACACAATGTAGAAAGAGGGTGAGAGAGGAACACATAGAAAGCATTAGCTTTGGGGTGGGTTTTCTCATTAGAACAAGGGTGTGATACAGAGTATTAGTGTGTTAGCGAGAAGGTGTTTTCACATTGTAATATCTCTTGTATCATTGTTCATTTCTAGTGGATTCCGAGACAAGGTCTCGGCGAGATGTAGGTAGTGTCACATTGACACTGCTGAACTCGTTAAACGTGTGTGTGCTCCCTTCTTCTCTATTCTCATCTCTAATATCTCTCTGCTCTGTTTTCTTGCTGCAACATAAGCCTCTCTGTTTTAACAAATCCGTTTTTGCACCAAACTACTTTAGTCTTGGTTGTATGAGGTTCATGCTCTAGAAAGTTTAAGTCTTTTGAGCTTCTGAATTCTCAACATGGCCTAACATTGCGCTAGTTGTAGGACCATCCTTGGTTCTACATGTAATCATTGCAGAACAATGACAACACTTAGCTTTGTCCTTAACATTAGTCTTCACAAAATGGTTCCAGGCTTTGGACTCTGTTTGTTGAGGTTGTTCTTCCGATTCTGGTAAGCTTTCTTCCCAAGTACCAGTTCCACAATTTGCTGTGGATTTTGAAGCCCCATCAGTAGAATCCATCTACACAAAGAAAACAAACTCGTGGTCAGACTTTGATGTTAAAGCATGCACTCATAATTTTTCCAAATAGAATCCAATTGAAAAACCTAACATATCCATAAGAGATTTCACAAACATTTAGAGAGAGAAGGAGCGTAGTACCGAAACAGAGAGAAGGTGCTAGGAATAAAGAGAGAATTTTGCAGTGATGACAGAAGTCAAGCCGATGAGAGAATTTCTTGGGCAACGGCGTCGGCACACGGCAATGGAAGAAGAAGAAGAATGGTTTTGTTTTTGGTTTTTTAGGGTTTTGATTTATTTATTAATATTAAAACACTTAAAAATGGTGGGCTTACAGATTTCTCTTTGGGCTTTAAGATATAAATCATAACTCATAAAACCTTTAAGAGACAATCTTATATTATATGGACCTAAATATATATGGACCTAAATAGTGCCTGATATCCGTTATCCGTTTTTAATTTTAAGAGAATCCGTATCCGTATCCGTTTTCAAAATATCCGTCATTTACTATTCGTATTCGTATCCGTTTTTCCGGATCGAAAACCGGATACGGATACGGATATTCGCGGATAGCGGATATTAATCTCAGGCCTAACGGGTGGGTAAAAATGCTTTTGGGTTAATCGGATATCCAACCCATTTTTTAAATTCCTTCACAAAAAATTTGTTGGATCGGGTTATATTTAACTCAACTCATACACCGGATATTCTATATTTAATAATTTAGATATTTAGAAGATTTGATTAAGATTTATAATTATGATTCTCCTATCATCTTTGTTTGATTTGTTTTTAAATGTTTTGAATCATCATATAATACAAAAAGTAAAAAAAAAACAATTTTTTTTTCTGCATATACTGTGATTCGAAATTTTAAAAACGGACATATATTATCCAATTGACGAAAATGTGTGTTCAACGTTCTACATCGATTAAAATATTTAGATAATGATTCAGAATCATATCATAAATAAGAATATTAATAAAATAAATGAGTTTTTTGGCCGGACGGGTTTGGCGTGACGGGTTTTTGAATCAACAATAATAAAAAGATTAAAATATCATTAATCCGCCGCTTCACTACGAATTAAATCCTTATTTTTTTAATACCACAAATATTAGAAATATTAAATCAGTCTCATTTAGAAAAGATTGTATAAAACCAAAAATTGTCCTGTGGTATAATGTTACTTAATAACAATATTTATAAAATTTTAAAATATCATTAACATGCCGCTTTAATACATACTAAATTTTTAGTTTATTAAAATATAAATCTCTTAGATAATGATATGATTTGTAAACTTTTATATATAATAAATGATCATTAAATTTTAAAATAAAAACAAATCACGGGACGGATTAAGAAATTACGGAACGGGTTATATTTCGGAAAGGATTTATATAGCGAACGAATTTGGATCAATATTTATACCGCTTTAATAGGGGTTAAATCCTCAGTTTATTAAAAATTGTCTCGTGGACTCGTGGTATACCGTTACTTAATAACAATTGTAAACTATAATATAAATAAATATGTTATAAGGATATACAATTTACAAAATATTATTATATTAACTTTAAAATTAAATCATCCCGCGGTATACCACGGGTTAAAATCTAGTACTCTCTACAAAGACTCTAGTGGCCAGTTCAACTTCTTCAAGAAAAACTTAGTCTTCTTCTTAACTTTTTTTTTTTTTTTGTCATCCGAAATTAATTAAAGCTCAAAAGAGCCATTCCTGAGGAATGTTATTTACATAAGTGATATGAAGCGGTTCTGTACGAACTTTTCGTGCCAGATTATCCGCCTTAACATTAGCCCTACGAAAAATTAAAGATAAAGAAAAAGATGAAAACTCCTCCTTGTTGCTCTGAAATTCCTCCAAATACACTAAAAACGCCGGCCATTCGGTTGGAGAAGACACCATCTTCACCAGGTCTGAACAGTCTGTAAGGAACGCTACCTCTTGATTATCTGCACCAATCATACACTTCATCGCCCAGAGAAGGGCCTCAAATTCGGCATGTAGTGGAGATAGACTTCTACGGAGGTTCGCAGCTCCCATGGTTGGCGGCTCTCCATTTGACGATGTACAGAACCAGCCTGTACCAGAGAACTTATCACTTTCTTTCCATGATCCATCTACAAAACAACGATAGTCTTCTTCTTAACTATCTCTGCAGAAATTAGTAAAATGAAATATTTCGTATGCTCTTGTTAATTTCCAAAACAGAATCTTTACGACAATTCATATCAACAAGAGAAACAAAGATATTATAAGTTAGAGGAACAAAATTGAGTGAGCAATATCCTCCTAATTGTAAAGATTTTTTCATACAAGACTGATTCATGATCCTTCAGGGTAAAAGGTTCAGACACTCGTACACAAAAGCTAATCTCTACTTCCCACAGACAAGCATCAAGATTCACAAATGAATCTAAACCTAACAGAAAACAAAAAACAATCCTTAACGTTGCTCATGGTTCTAGCCTTCTTGGCGTGGTGAGTGAAACATGATCCCCAATGAAGATAGCCATCAATTCAGCCACGAGCTGCTTGTCATCATCATGTTTCCTAACATACAAATTTAAAAACACCTCACTAGTACTTGTCAAAACAGACGATATTGGAGGGATTTCGCTTTCGAGCAATCCTTTTGACATGAGAATTTTGATTACATTACACCTTGGGACAGTCCTTTTCTCTAGGCTGTATCCAAGTACCTGAGGGACTGAAGCCACAGCCTTTACTGGCCAATTCATCTCCTTCACCAGAAACTCAGTCTTCTTCTTCACTAACTCTGTCGAATATCCAATGCACTGAGGAAACCGCTTGAACATCATCAAAAACTCATCTCTGCTGAATCCTAGACCTAGAAATGTTTCTACGGAGTTGGCTACCTTCTTCTCCGAGTGTCTCAGAGAGCGTGGCCACTTCTTGAACATTGCCCATACATCGTCCACGGTGAAACCTATACTTCTATAGACTTCAACTTTTTCTTCAATCGTTTTGTCGCTCATTTGGTAAAGCATGTGCAAAGCGTGCACAAACGTTGAGGTGGTTGGATCAAAACCCATCTCAACGACCTTCTTGAGTGATGCATCAAAATTTTCTTTTCCACACACGGGCTGAAATTTGGAGATGAGCAAAGATAATAACCGCTTTCGAGGCACACCCAAATCTCTCAAAACCAAAACATTTCTGATCTTGTTACCCTGTGGCAAAGAATGAGATAACTTTACATACTTGGAACTCTTATCCGCCTCTATAATGACTTTGATGAAATCATAGTATCTGCTGATAGATTTGCCCGCTCTCTTCCCCAAGATTTTAGGAACTGTAGAAACAATCTCAGTGAGCTCAGAGCTTGAAGCTCCTCTGGACTGCAAAAACTCAAGCTTTGAACCCAGGGATGTCGCAGAATTGGCAATAAGCACTTGTGGATCACTCCTAATGATGCTGGAGATCTGAGAATCTGTGAACCCATAACTTCTAAGAAGATCCAGAACCGAATCAGCATTGACTTTACTTGTGAGTTTTGCAGCTAAACGCAGTGAATCAAGGAATGAAGAAGCTTTAAAGGTCTCCCCTTTTCCACCATCTTTAGGGTTTACATCAGCAGCAGTAGCAGAGGAGAAGGAATTAGAAAAAGCAGATCCATTTTGCAATGAAACTCTCAAGTTACGCCATTTCTGCAACCCCACGAACCTTCTTGCACCGAGTATAAGAGAATTCATGACAACGCAAAGCGATTACCTTTAAAGCGATTCAATTCGTGCCCAAGATTAAAAATTTCACCTTTTTTACTATCGAGCAGCGAAGAAGAAGAATCGACTTCATTCACTTCAATGGGGAAAAAGAAAGACACGGTTTTTAGGGTTTTCAGTTCTGGACCGGTTTAAGGACAAATCAATAACTGATTTAATTGGTTTACTTTTGGTTCATAAAATCACAGGTAAATCATAAATTTCACTATCTATTTTCGGAAAAACGGTCTATTTCCCCCCGAGAACTATCGCATCTGGCCAGATAAAGCCCGATCTTTGACCTTTGTCTATATACCCATGAAACAAAAGTTAAATGTTTATTTCCCCACCAATTGAAAGTTTGAGATCTTAATGTCCATGAATCCTAAGTTAGAGATTTAAAACCCCATAGCGCTGGGTTTAATTGGTTTACTATATACCAAACCGATGCTTTAACCACGTTAACCTAATTAGAACCAGCCTTAACCCAATTTACAACCCGTTTATGACCCATTACCCAAAAAAACAAATCGAAACCTAAAACTAAAACCTAAATCGAAAATCCCCAATTTGCTCTTGACGAACCCTCTTGAATCCCCAAATCACTTTTCCCCGAGTTTGATCGATGTCGTTAGCCCTTCACGACCCTGATCTTGTTGGTGATGTCGATCCCGAAGCTGAAGACAGAGATGAGTTTCACATGGAAGAACTGCTAAAGGAGTGGACCGACGAACCACCAATTCGCCACGATGTGTACCCGGAGAGTGATGATGAGGAAAACGCCGACGGTTCTGGAAGATTTGACACACATATCAGGTGTGGTGATGGGTTTTTGTACCACAAGCAGAGTTTTTTCAGTGGGGTTGCGTTCAAAGAGGCGGTAGTTGATTACGCTCTCAGAACCGGCTGCAATATAAAGCAGTACAAGTATGATTCCGATAAAATTGGGTTCATATGTGTTGGTTGTGATGGGAAAAAAGGTGGAGCTAAGTGTGAGTGGAAAGTTTATGCGGCCATTCTCAAGAGTGATAATATGTGGAAGATTAGGAAGTTTGTTGACACACATAGTTGTATCCCTAATGGAGAATGTGAGATGTTTAAGGTGCCACATATAGCTAGGTTATTTGTTGATAAGATTAGGGATAGTCCTGAATTTTACATGCCCGCAAAGATTGAAGAAATAATTATGGAACAATGGAAGATTAGTGTCACTAGGAATCAATGTCAATCTGCGAGAAAGAAGGCTTTGCAATGGATTGAGAAAGAGTATGATGATCAATTTGCAAGATTAAGGGATTATGCGGCTGAGATAGTTGAATCAAACAAGGATTCACGGGTTGAAGTTGAATGTCTCACGAGTGCTGAAGGTAAAGACATGTTCCCCGCACCAGCATCTTGTTGGCACTCCGACCACTCTTCCTCTTCCACGTGGTCCCGCATTGGGATCAATCCTAGTTGTAAAAAAAATCTCAAAAGTCTCAAATTCCCCAGCGTTGATATAACATAGCGAGCTGCTCTTCCCTAACACAAGATAGAGACACAAAATTTTCTGCATTGTAAGAGTTAAATGGCAGTGGCAGAGGCGGTCCAAATCTCTCTTTTGTAAAATCAAAACAAACTAGAACATCTTCAATATTTACTCCTCCCACGGTTCTTTTCTTATGCACAGGAAAATAAGTATTCCCCTTCAAAGACACGCCACGTTGATGAGAGTGTATATTCCACTCTGGTTTGACATCAAGAACCTTCCATGAATTAGAGCTAAAATCATAGACTTGGTACCTAAAATCGTGGTTTCTGCTTGGATACAGATTGAAAATCCTCAAGATTTTGTGATTACGGTTGTTTTTTTTTTTTTTTTTGACAGCGTGATTACGGTTGTTATCATATCCAAAAGCATACATATCTAGTCTGCCCCAAATAAGGGTTTTATACCAAGAGCCTTGTGTTACCCATAATGATGCTAGAAAAAACTTTTGTCGGGATCAAAATATAAAAATTTTAAAAATAAATATTTTCGCGTAAATTTTTCTATGACCAATTTATTGGTTAGTAATAAAGATCATATATTTATCCAATGAATAAAATTTAAGAAAACAAACCTTGTAACTTATATTTTTATATAACTTTCATTTTTAATAGTTTTATAACCAGAGTTTATCATATGTCTAAAATTTATCAATATATTTGTGGATATAAAGTAGATATTTCAATACACAAAAGGGATTTAAGAAATGAAAAATAAAAGACTGAATAAGCAAATAGATTAAAAATGAAATTATCGAAAAGAAAAGAAATAAAATTGAATGCAAAATCATTATAAAAAAGGAAAACATATATAAAACAACTAACGAAAAAAATACCCGAGAGAGTTTTAAACAATTTTACAATGGGGTCAATCCACAAAAAATAACCAAATGATCAACATATATGTATTAGTTATATGCCTAACTTAAATAAAATTTAAAAAGTTATTAGGGTCAGCTGACCCCACTGCTCTCTTACAGCCTCCGCGGCTCCGCCCCTGTATTTGAACATGGTACCAAATGGGCAAGTTGTAAAAAAGAAGACAAGTTGGGTTTTGTGCATATTATTGTAAGTTGCATGGAAAAGCGTGAGAGTGCAGAGTGGCCCCACCGTAGACCTTTACTTTCTCCTCAAGTCCATTTAGCTTACCACTCTGCACCCACAGTTTGCCCACCATTTCTCACTGCCACAGCCATTTTTAGTCTCTCTCGCTCTCTCTTCTTAGTTTGAGAAGACGGAAGTGGACTTCATTTTCTTCTTTTTTTGCTAAAAAAGTAGACTTCATTTTCTTGTACGGGAACTAAAATATTGCAGATTGACATATACAAACATGAATCATCAGAGGAGTAAATTTGCTAGGTAGCTTCTTCTTCTTCTTCTTTTTTTTTTTTTTAATTATTGGTTGTAGTGCTCATATCTTGTTGATGCAGGCTTGATCATACTAGGAATTTGGGGAGTTCTGTGGATGGAAAAATCAAAAGTGTTAGAGGAGGCTTGAAGAAGTTTTATCAGAAGATGAAAACACTGAAAAACTGGAGGAAGACTGTCTTGTTAGCTTGCGTGGTTGATTTGGCTATTGATCCTTTGTTTCTCTTTATCCCTTTGATTGATTCTAATAAATATTGCTTCACTTTCGACAAGAAACTTGTAGCAGTAGTTTGTGTCATTCGTACTTTTAGTGACACATTCTATGTGATTCACATCATATTTCATCTTATAACCGAGATCATGGCTCCTCGTCCTGAAGCATCTTTTAGAGGCGAGATTTCCGTGCATTCTAAGGCTACACGGAAAACACGTCACCTCTTTCAATTCATTGTTAACATTTTCTCTGTTCTCCCCATTCCTCAGGTATTGTTCTCTTCGTTTTGTGACATGTACTTTTCCATGGTTTTATTAGAGCTAGATACATATGTGGGGATGCAAAACTGTAGGTGGTGGTTCTAACTCTCATTCCACGGTCTGCGTCGCTAGTGTCAGAGAAAATACTGAAATGGATTATACTTTGTCAATTGTTACCAAGAATCATTCGTATGTATCCGCTTTACAAAGAAGTGACAAGAGCCTTTGGTACGGTGGCAGAATCAAAGTGGATTGGAGCTGCTTTAAACCTTTTCCTTTACATGCTGCACAGTTATGTAAGTATGTGCTCTTCTTTCTTTGTTTTGTTATACGACGCACGCGACTATAGGATTTGTTACAATGGCTACTAGGTGTTTGGGGCTTTTTGGTACGTGAGTGCAGTAGAAAAGAAAAGCAAATGTTGGCGTGACGCGTGCGCTAGGACATCCGACTGCGATCTCACGAATCTGCTTTGTGGACGAGGTGGCAGAGACAACAGTCGTTTCCTCAACACTTCATGCCCCTTAATCGACCCTGCCCAAATCACAAACTTCACAGACTTCAACTTTGGGATGTTCATTGATGCATTGAAGTCAGGTGTGGTAGAGGTGAAACCAAGGGATTTTCCGAGGAAATTCCTCTATTGCTTTTGGTGGGGTCTCCGTAATATTAGGTAATAGACATATCCATCCATTGAGGACGTTTTAAAACTCATAGATTAACCCACTCTATTAACAATTACAGTGCTTTGGGCCAAAACCTGGAGACAAGCAACTCTGCAGGGGAGATTTGTTTTGCTATCATCATATGTGTCTCTGGTTTACTCTTGTTTGCTGTGCTCATTGGAAACGTTCAGGTAATGTTCATACCTTATAAACTAGAGTTTGATCTCATAAAGCTGTTTTTTTTGTTGATCACAGAAGTACTTGCAATCATCAACCACTAGAGTAGATGAAATGGAGGAGAAAAAGAGAGACACTGAAAAATGGATGTCCTATCGGGTGATACCACAGTATTTGAAGGAACGCATTAGGAGATTCGAAGATTACAAATGGCGAGAAACCAAAGGCACCGAAGAGGAAGCTCTTCTTCGTAGTCTTCCAAAAGACCTCAGACTCGAAACCAAACGCTATCTTTACTTGGATATGTTAAAGCGTGTAAGCTCCCTTTTCGTGATTAATGATCCCTGTATCTCTGTTCACCCAGAAATAATAGCTTTTTCACCCCTCAGGTTCCATGGCTTGACTTCATGGATGATGGTTGGCTACTAGAAGCTGTGTGCGACCGAGTGAAGTCTGTGTTCTACTCAGCGAACAGCTACATTGTGAGAGAGGGGCACCCAGTTGAGGAAATGCTGATTGTAACCAGAGGCAATCTGAAAAGTACAACCGGATCTCATGAAATAGGTGGCCGCTACAATTGTTGTTACCTCCAAGCTGGTGACATATATGGAGAACTTCTCTTCAATGGTTCTCGCCTTCCCACCTCAACCAGAACCATAATGACTCTGACTGAAGTTGAAGGCTTCATTCTCTTGCCTGATGATGTCAATTTTATAGCGTCTCATTTAAATGCCTTTCAACGACAGAAACTCAAACAAACATTCAGGCAAGTTTCGAACCAAAGTAGCCGTAGGAGTTTTTTTACTACCTTAAACAAACTACAAGACTCAAATTCCCCCTTTTTGGCCATCCATTTTTCAGGTTCTATTCAGAGAAATGGCGCTCATGGGCGGCATTCTTCATTCAAAGGGCATGGAGGGAACATTGCAAAAGGAAGCTTTCTAAGATCTTACGTGCCAAAAGAGACAACGAGAACATTCCACAAGGCAAGCAACTCAATCTTGAATCAACGCTCTACGTGTCGAGATTTGTGTCCAAAGCTTTGCAAAATCGACGGAAAGATACAGCAGATTGTTCCACTTCTCTTGATATGTCACCTCCGGTACCTCATAAACCAGCCGATCTCGAGTTTGCAAGGGATGAAGCATAGTGTATCTTTGAAGGAAAATGACTTTGTACACAAACAAGGAAGTGAAGACTATGCTTAATTCACGCAATCATTTATTAGGAATTGTAGGGCATGTTTTGAGTACATGGAGATAACTTGGTCGATTGCTGTTTCTAGGTCAAGTCTGCCTTAAGAGATGGTTCAAAATAGCTACAATAAGTTGTATGTACAAAACAGAGTATTCAAGTCAAATTTGATTCAAAGACAAAAACAGAGAGACTAAGAAAGCAAAAGAAGATTCACTTCCTGTCTTTCTTCTTCACCACGTCAATAAATTCTCTCATCAGACTTATCAATCTCGCCATGATTCTTTGCTGCTCCGAGACCATTTTTACGTGAATATCTGGCCACCAAAATGATGCTTCTCAACTTTACTATCTGATTGGACTTCAACATTATTTGAGTGGAAAAAAATGTTACGTGTTTTAGATTGAACGAGAGAGAGACATAGAAAGAGATAAAGAGGATAGTGGCCAAGGAAGATGTATACTGTGAATTATGAGAGATTCTCCACAGAGAGGGAGATGAACTTACTCAGGTATAATGTGGAGACATAGATTCTAGATGTGATCATGTAAAAGTACACTCCCTGCAACAACACAAAACGGAGACATATATCACTAAAAGATTCAAGACAAAGTTAATGTTCAAAGTTAAAGATCAAATGTAGAATTATTTAAAAGTTCAAAAGCAACAAGATTTAGGAACAAAAAGGATTAAACTTGTAAAAGAAAGCATAAGAAACTAACTTGTAGTTCCAGAGCTTGTTTCTGAACCCGCATAGAAACTGGTGACATCAGTACACTAACCAGAAAAGCCGTAAGAACAATCAACATCCACCTATAAATACAAGATTAGAAACCAATCACTGAACTAAAACCTTAAGAAATCATCAAGCAATAACAAACATAAAGTCCCAACCAATATAATCAATGTTACCAATTGAAGCCTGTGAGTTCATGGATTCCATTAATCACATACTGCACGAAGTCCCCGGGGAAAGAAAAATTCTCAATTGCTGCAGTACACTCATCTATTGCTTCCACAGATTTCTCAGAGACGAGATCCTCAACAACATTTCCAAAAGCATCAATCTTTGAACACAATTCTTCTGGTTTAGACGACAGCAATACTCCAGAAAAACCCGTTGGTTGAACAAAAGACATTTTCCTTCTATCTTCAAAGAAAACTTGCCTGTGAAAGCTACGAATCAGAAGCCTTGAATCTGGGAAAGACTTGAGATACATCGATTCGATCGAGTTTACTTACTTGCTTTATAGATGGATCAACGTAGTCTCCATTGTTTCGTATTCCTTGGAGATCGAATTCCAATGAACAAACCCTAAAATCCATCATTATAAACCCTATAAACTGCTTGCTTGCTGCAGTTGCTTTTTGCCAAAAATCTGATTTTGGGATAAAGTGTTCCACTTTTTGCAAGTAGAACGTATTGCTCTCAGAGATGTCATCGGAACCCTCTCAGAGAGTATCTTCTCTACCATTGTCGTCATTCTTTCAAACTTCAGAAATTAGGTTTTGGACGCTCTCAAGAAAAAAGCTTTTTTATTCCATTCCATCTATTATGAGAGACTCTACTTAATCCAGAAGTTTCCATTTTAATCTTTAGAGCCCAAACCCTCTGTTTTCCAGACACAAACTTCCCTATTCTCCACTTCTATTCGAATATGGATTTGTTTTCTCTCTTTCCTAGCAATCCATTGGACTTGAGAGCTTTCACTAGAAACTCTATAATCTTCAGATAAAGCAAGATACCGAGGAAAGCGTTTAACCATCATCACAAACTCATAAATCCTAAGCCAAGAAATGTTTCAATGGACTTCAATATCTTCTTCTCCGATAGTTTCAGAGAGTTTGGTAACTTCTTGAACATTCCCTTCACCAAAGCCTAAACTTTTACAGACATTGACTTTTTCTTCTATCTTTTTGTCACTCCATCCATAGAAAAATTTGCAGAGCAACCCATGTGAACAACCTTCTTAAGGGATTCTTCAAAACCGTAAGGATGTATATCAACAACAAACATTACACCAACTCTGTGTACCTCTAATATTGTTGAACCTGAAACGGATTTGAGGCATATTACCTTGTGAGTCAAACAGAGAAACTCCAATGGTCGTTAGCCATCACAAAACACGAACAAGTTTTTAAAGAGTCTGAAGCTTCGTCGGTTGGATGATATAAGATAGCTTTCAAGTGCCTCCATGATATTAAAGGCAACGTAGTGAGACACCATAAGCTCACAAGAACGTGCATGAAACGCGATTAGTGAAAAGAGATTCAAAATAACATTTTACAGTTAAGTCGGACACCATATAAACAGAAACGGTTTAGATCCTGATCATATGAGATTACAAAAAGTCTAAAATTTAAGTATTCATAAATAAAAGCAACATTCTTCACAAGCCTTCTGATCTATGAAGCCTAATATTTGGTGAAGATAGCCATGCCATTAATTTAAGCACAAGGAGCTTATCATCATCCTTCACCACATACCTGTTTAAGAACGCCTGATCAGTACATGCCAAGACAGAAGCCACTGAAGGGAGTTCACTTCCAAGCGATCCTTTGGACATGAGAGCTTTGATTACATTACACCTTGGAACAATCCTCTTCTGCAAGCTGTATCCAAGTCCCGCAGGGTTCGAAACCACAGACTTTAGTGGCCAATTCATCTTTTTCACCAAAAACTCAGTCTTCTTTTTCACCGTCTCTGCAGACAATCCAAAGCACATAGGAAAGCCCTTGATTATCATCACGCATTCATCTCTACTGAATCCTACACCTAAAAATGTTTCAATTAAACTCAATATCTTCTGCTCTGAAATACGTATGAATTGCGGATACTTCTTCAGCACTTGAAGGACTTCGTTTTCGTCCAGACCACACATCTTCAAGGTTTCAATCGTCTGAGTTATCTTTTCCTCTGAGAATTTCAAAGAGCAAGGCCACTTCTTGAAGATTACCCATACATCTTCCACAGAAAAGCCTAACCTTTTGTAGACATCGAGTTTTTCTTCAATTGTTTTGTCACTCATTTGGTAAAAGCCATGGAGAGCTTTGACAAACTTCGAAGTGGTTGGATCAAAACCCATCTCAACAACCTTCTTGAGGGATTCTTCAAATTTTTCTTTTCCACATACAGGTCCGCTATCAGAGATGAGCAAGGAGAATAACAACCTCTGAGGCACACCCAATTCTCTCAGAACCAAAACATTTCGGATTTTATTATCCTGCCTACTACCCTCTGGCAAAGCATGACATAACTTTTCATACTTGGAGGAACTCTTATCTGCTTCTATAATGACTTTGATGAAATCATAGTATCTGCTAAGAGATTTGCCCTCTCTCTTCCCCAAGATTTTAGGAACTTTAGAAACAACCTGAGTGAGCTCAGAGCTTGAAGCTCCTCTTGACTGCAAAAACTGAAGCTTGGGACCAAGTGACTTGTCAGCATCTGCTATAAGCAATAGTGGATACATCTTAATGATGTTGGACATCTGAGAATCTGTGAACCCATGACTCCTTAGAAGACTCAAAACCGAATCAGGATTACGCTTGTCCTCAAAAAAAAAAAAAAAAAAAAAAAAAAAAAAAAAAAAAAAAAAAAAAAAGAGCCCGTGAAGATCCTTGTAATTGTGAAGATTGTGAAGTTGCCGTGATTGCAATCAAGGGTTTCAACTAGAGTGTCTCCGCCATGAAAACAGAGCGGCAAAACGTCTCGGAGGATGTTGTTGTCGTCACCGAACGCAATAAGCGAGCGAAGACCTCAAACAATGGTGGAGAACCGATCCCATTTGATTTAACTGTCGAGATTTGTTCGAGACTGCCAGCGAAATCTATATCAAGATTTCGCTGCGTATTGAAGCTATGGGGTTCCATTCTTCGCCTCCCCTACTTCACGGAGTTGTTCTTGACCAGATCATTGGCTCGCCCACAACTATTGTTTGCCTGCCATAAAGACAATCATGTGTTTGTCTTCTCCTCACCGCAGCCTCAAAATATTGATGATAACAACGCCTCCTCTCTTTTAGCCGCCAATTATCATATGAAAATTCCGTTTTATGCCTCTTCCTTTGAAAGATGTAGTTCTGTCAGAGGCTTGGTCTTTTTTGGAGATGAGCGGTATTCAAATGGAAAGGAGCATAAGGTCTCGGTGATATGTAACCCGAGCACCCGACAATCTTTGACCTTACCGAAACTGAAGACAAGGAAGAGGATTGGAGTGAGGAGCTATTTCGGGTTTGAGCCCATTGAGAAACAATACAAGGTATTGTCCATGACCTGGGGGATATATGGAACACGAGACATGGACTCTGAGGAGCATCAAGTTTTGACATTAGGAACTCGAAAACCGTCATGGAGAATGATCGAATGTTGGATACCCCATTCTCTTTATCATACATACAACAATGTATGCATCAATGGTGTTCTGTATTATCCAGCGGTCAATACTTCTTCAAAGGGTTTCATAATCGTTTCCTTTGACTTTAGGTCGGAGGAGTTCAGATTTGTTGAAGACACAGACACTTCCATTTCATCATATTATGGTCCACATCTGATAAACTATAATGGTAAATTAGGTTCACTTGGGTCTGGAGGATTTGGCGGTATCGGTGCAAGCTGTACAAGTATTACGTTGCGGGTTCTAGAAGATGCCGAAAAGCATGAATGGTCGGAGCATATATATGTATTACCCGCTTGGTGGAAGAATATTTTTGGAGGGGAATGTACAGTTTTAAGCGTTGTTGGAGTGACTCGGACAAATGAAATTGTGTTGTCATTGCGCTTTCCATCCACGCCTTTCTACGTTTTCTACTACAATACAGAGAGAAACGCAATCAGAAGAGTCGAAATCCAAGGACAGGAAGCGTTTAAGGATCATTCTGTTTACACCTTTCTAGACCATGTAGAGAATGTGAATATGAAGCTTCTGGAAGGGTTTTAATCATGACTTTTATAACTTTGAGATTTTTGTAACAGAGCTAGTTTGGCCGTTACTCTTTACTTTCATCAATTTTTCAGTTTTCTGTTATGGATAAATCATCTGCTAATATGCCATTGGCTTTCTTTGGAGGCTTAAAGCTATTCATATTACCACATTCCAAAAAAACTCTTTATTCAACAAATATAACCAATGAAACATGACGTACATAGTAACTTAAACTCATAAAAGAGATTCAATATTACAATTTGTTATTGTCACAATCTGATTTGCATATAAGACGAAAACAGCGTGGATCCTCCAGATCAGATTGAGATTACAAAAGTCTAAATGGGTTTCAGACACTAGTCAGCCATCAAATTAAAAGTTTCACCAATGTTCTGGTAATACGTATGAATTGCGGATACTTCTTCAGCACTTAAAGGATTTCGTTTTGGTTCAGACCACACATGTTCAAGGTTTCAAACGTCTAAGTAATCCTTTCCTCTTGAGAATTCCACAGTAAAGCCTAATTAACCTTTTGTAGACATTGACTTTTTCTTCTATTGTTTTGTCGCTCATTTGGTAAAAGGCGTTGAGAGCTTTGACAAACTTTGAAGTGGTCGGATCAAAACCCATCTCAACTTGTTGAGAGATATTTTCTTTTCCATTGACCGGTCCACTATGTGAGATGAGCAAGGGGAATACCAACTTCTGATGCCTAGAATGCATGTAAATTACGAGTGTAATAATCGTGAATATATAAAGGAAGTCAACAGATTCGACTACTATTCGGTGGATCGGATTATTTTCAAATAAAAGTATAATTATTGAAATCAAACGGGGAGAAATAATCAAATATTACTCGCACAAGTTAGTGATTTTAAAGTATGTCACGTCTTTGGTCTCGCTCGATAGAAAATACTAAAGTTTTGTTTTTATTTCTTGATCGCAAAGAAAGTCTCTATCTTCTCTTGTTCTTTGCATCCTCTCTGGTTTGCTCAGATCAGTAAATTTCAAATTTCAGATATATCTGCCTTTCAGTAGAATGGGCGCCTCTATCTCAATACCCTGTGATACGTGTATAAATAAAGTCTTTTACTGGCAAGAAAAGAAAGTAGGCTATACTCGCAATCTCCAGAAGAATCTCGTGGCTCTAGAGACAACCATGGAAGAGCTCAAGGCTAAGCGAGATGATTTGACAAGAAGGTGTTGGTTTAAGCTTGAAAGAGGCTTAAACCGGAGGTTACTTAAACCGTAAGATGTCGGTTTATTGAAGAGATAAAGACTAATTCTTTAGGAGTTATCTAGAGAATATCATGTAATCCTAATTGAGTTATGATTAGGTTTAGAGGTTGTGGCTATATAAGCATATATCAAGTTGTGATATAGCTTAAGAGATTAAGAGAGTTTTATGCGGTTTTAGAGTTTGAGAAGTAATTGAGAGAGACTTAGGTTTTGAGAGATTTTCCTAAGTAATAAAAGAGAGTTATTCTTTTGTTGTTGTGTTCTTGATTACTTTTACAAACTAGAATTGGTATCAGAGCTTTAAGGTTTTGATCTTGGAGTTTTGAAGAAGGAGACGTGAAGATCCTACGTACGTACAGCCGTCGAGACCGAGCCATGGCCGACGACAGACCACCACGCTCGAAGGAGATCTCACTACCGTCTATCCAATGTCCGATGCTCAACGATTCTCACTACACGGTCTGGGCTAAGCGGATGAGAATCATGTTGAAGATATATCATGTATACGATGCAATCGAACCGGGATCGGAAGATATTGACAAGAACAACATCGCGACAGGATTGTTGTTTCAAGTCATGCCGGAGAGTCTTATATTGCAAGTTGGTGATCATGAGACTCCTAAAGCAGTATGGGATGCGATCAAATCACGTCATCAAGGTGCTGATCGAGTCAAGGAAGCAAGACTTCAAACCTTGATGTCGGAATTTGAAAGAATTAGGATGAAGGATACGGATACTATTGATAGCTTCTCGGGGAAGTTATCGGAGTTAGCATCAAAATCTTCCTCACTTGGTGTAAAGATTGAGGAAACCAAACTCGTGAAGAAATTCCTTAATAGCTTACCAAGAGGAAGGTTTATTCAAATCATAGCCAAAGAAAGAACAACAAACCAAAACAACCAAGGTCAAGCAAAAGAGAAGAAAGATATCTCAAAGGTGGTTTGTTACCGCTGTGACAAGCCGGGTCACTACGCCTCCTCGTGTCCAGAAAGAGTTCAAAGAACACACGAAGCAAACAAGACAGAGACGAAAGAAGCCGATGCTGCTCTTTACATGCATGAAGTGATCTTTTTGAATGAAGAAAAGGTGATTCCAAGGAATTACGAGATCAAAGATGGGGAAGACAAAGTGTGGTATCTCGACAACGGAGCAAGTAACCACATGACCGGAAACAAGACTTTCTTTTCTGAGCTCAATGAGAAGATTAAGGGAAAAGTGAAGTTTGGAGACGGATCATGTATCGACATCGGAGGAAAAGGATCAATACTTTTTCAAAGCAAAACCGAAGAACAAAGACTTGTTACGGATATCTACTATATCCCCGATTTAAAAAGCAACATTCTTAGTCTCGGGCAAGCAACCGAAGCCGGCTGTGACGTGAGGATGAAGCAAGACTACCTAACACTCCATGATTCAAGCGGAAGACTTCTAGTGAAGGTTACGAGATCGCCAAATAGACTATACAAGGTAAGTCTACGAATTGGAAAGCCTATGTGTTTAAACACAACACTAGAAGACGAGACATGGAGATGGCATGCACGTTTGGGACATGTAAGCTTCAAGACGATGAGAAATATGTCTCAACAAGAGATGGTTCAAGGATTACCAAAGATCAAAGAAGAAACCAGAATTTGCGAGTCATGCCTAGTAGGAAAACAAGTCCGTGGCTCTTTCCCAAATGCAGCAACATTCCGAGCCACTAAACCATTGGAGCTACTACACGCCGATCTTTGCGGTCCCATATCACCATCAACAATTGCTAACAACAAGTATGTATTTGTTATTATTGATGATTTTTCTAGGTATATGTGGACAATTTTAATGAAAGAGAAAGGAGAAGCTTTCAAAAAATTCAAGGCGTTTAAGCAATTGGTGGAGAAGGAATTTGAAAAAGAAATCATAACTCTAAGGACTGATCGAGGAGGAGAATTCACGTCAAAAGAGTTCAATGATTTTTGCGAAGAAAACGGGATAAAGAGACACCTCACGGCACCATATACACCGCAACAAAATGGTCTGGTTGAGAGAAGGAATAGGACATTAATGGAGATGACTAGGAGCATTCTCAAGGCTATGAAGGTACCAAATTATCTATGGGGAGAGGCAGTCCGTCACTCAACATATGTTATTAATAGGATACCAACGAGAGCCCTTGAAAATATGACTCCCTACGAAAGCTTGCGAGAGAAGAAACCAAGCCTAGATCACTTAAGGGTTTTCGGGTGCTTAGCTTACACGAAGATTGAAGCTACTCGCCTAAAGAAGCTAGATGACAGATCGCAAACTCTAGTACACCTTGGAATTGAGCCGGGAACCAAGGCTTATAGACTTTACAATCCAACGACAAGGAAAGTGGTTGTAAGTCGAGACGTGGTGTTTGATGAAAAGAAAGGTTGGTGCTGGGAAAAACAAGTAAACGGATCAAGGGAAGATTCGGGCATGTTTCACATGAGATGGGGTGAAGTCATAGATGTTGGAGAAGGACCCGTAATTGTCAATAACGATCTAAATAAAGATCTAGATGAAACCGGAAGTAACGGTAGTAACTTTGGTGACCATGATCAAGAACAAGAAGATGACAACAATACTGAGGAGACTAACACCAACACTAACAACAACTTGCCGCATCAACAAGTACAACATCAACAACCACAAGAGCAACAATTAAGACGATCGGGTCGTCAAACTCTTCTACCTAGGCACCTTGAAGATTATGTACTCCAAGCTAAGATAGAAGTAGAGAGACTAGAGAGACTTCTACTTTCAATAAATGATGAGCCGAGAAGCTACAAAGAAGCAAAGGGCTTATTAGAGTGGAGAAAAGCAAGCAAGGAAGAGATTGATTCTATCAACAAAAACAAGACATGGTTTTTGGTTGAAAAGCCGAGAGAAGCAAAAGTGATTGGTCTCAAGTGGATTTTTAAGATCAAGAAAAATGCGGATGATGCTATCAATAAATCCAAGGCCAGATGTAAGATGGGTGAGACGAAGCGAGAGACTGACAAGTCCGATGAGGAGAGGAAGGTTCTTGAAGCCATAGCTTTGAAAGGTTCGGAGTTAGAGACTAAAGTTGCACGGTTGCAGCATGAACTGATCAAGGCTACGACGGAGGCAAAGAAGCTTCTCTATGACAATGGCGGAATTGAGGAAGTGGAGAAAGAGGTCGCTGGTTTAAGGACTGTTAAGGAAGAGAATGAGAAGAGAATGAAGGAATTGGAGACAAAGCTTGGTGCTTTGGAGGTGAAGGAGTTAGAGGAGAAGAACGAAAGGTTCCAAGCAGAGGAAGTAGATGAGGAGAAAGAAAAGGAGGAGAAGAAAAGAAAGAAGATTAATGGTTTGGTTCCTGATAATGGTGTTGTTGTGAAACATATCAAGACAGGTGAAGAAATCGTTGTTTCGAGGAGAGTTGTTGGTGTTTTCCTGCTAATGACAATGGCGGAGTTTAGTGGTCAGTTTTGCGGGCTCCAAGATGAGTTTTTCAACTATGGCTGGAGACTTGAGTTTAGAGGGAACAACGTGACTGCGTTGTGGCCTGGGAATGGGAAACCTGGACTGTGGTTGAATTCGAATTCAAGGATGGGAGCGATTTATAGTTTGATTGTGAGAGAAGAGGAGATTTTGATAGAGAATGAAGAGAAGGGACAACAAGGTGAAGCCAATGGTGGAGCATTTATTAGAGAGTCCATCTATGGTGTTGGGATTTATTTAACTGTTGCAAACTGCTCTTACTTCAGTGCTAGATATTGTGATGGTGACAAAAACGGAGTTCGTTACATGGTTTTATGTCATGTAATAATGGGGAATATGGAGCTTCTTCGTGGTGATAAAGCTCAATTCTTTTATGGTGGAGAAGAATATGACAATGGAGTAGTCGATGATATCGAGAGTCCAAAGAATTACATTGTCTGGAACATCAATATGAACACTCATATATTCCCCGAATTTGTTTTTAGGTTCAAGCTGTCTAATCTCTCCAATACTGGAGGTAATTTGATTGCTAAGCGTGAAGTTGCTGCGTTGCTTAGAAACAATGATGGTGATAAGAAGATTTCAAGCTTAAGGGGGAGATTGTTGGTTTAAGCTTGAAAGAGGCTTAAACCGGAGGTTACTTAAACCGTAAGATGTCGGTTTATTGAAGAGATAAAGACTAATTCTTTAGGAGTTATCTAGAGAATATCATGTAATCCTAATTGAGTTATGATTAGGTTTAGAGGTTGTGGCTATATAAGCATATATCGAGTTGTGATATAGCTTAAGAGATTAAGAGAGTTTTATGCGGTTTTAGAGTTTGAGAAGTAATTGAGAGAGACTTAGATTTTGAGAGATTTTCCTAAGTAATAAAAGAGAGTTATTCTTTTGTTGTTGTGTTCTTGATTACTTTTACAAACTAGAGAAGGATCAGAAGAGAGGAAGATAGAGGTCTGGAAAGGCTTGCCGAAATACAGGTATGGCTTAATAAAGTTGAAACTGTCGAACAAAACGTCAACGAACTTCTTAGTGATAGAGATGTTCAACTTCAAAGGCTATGTCTTTGTGGGTTTTGCTCTAAGAAATTGAAATCGGGCTATCATTATGGGAAAAAGGTTTTCTTGATGTTAAGGGAGGTTGAGGAACTGATCAAAACTAGAGATTTTGATGTGATTGCTGATCAAGCTCAAGCATCCAAGGTGCAAAAAGGCCTCCTCCACGGATAATTGTTGGTCAAGAGACAATGCTAGATAACGCATGGAAACATCTGATTGAAGATGGAGCTGGTATTATGGGTATGTACGGTATGGGCGGAGTAGGGAAGACAACTATTCTCACCCAGATCAATAATAAGTTCAGTAATGATAGGTGTGGATTTGACTTTGTGATTTGGGTTGTGGTGTCTAAAGAGCTGCATATAGAGAATATTCAAGATGAAATTGCTGAGAAAGTTGGTCTTGGTGGAGAAGAGTGGAACAAAAAAGATGAAACTCAAAAGGGCCTTCATTTATACAATTTCTTAAGGACAAAGAGATTCATGTTGTTTTTAGATGATATATGGGAGACGGTGGAATTAGATAAGATTGGAATCCCGGATCCAACATCACACAAAGGATGCAGATTGGCATTCACCACTCGGTCTCTAAATGTATGCACGAGCATGGGGGTTGGAAAACCAATGGAAGTCCAATGTTTGGCGGACGATGACGCATTTGATTTGTTCAAAAAAAAGGTTGGAGAATTAACACTCGAAAGCGATCCACAGATCCCAGACCTTGCAAAAATAGTTGCTAAAAAATGTTGTGGTTTACCATTGGCTCTCAACGTAATAGGTGAAACCATGTCATCCAAGAGGACGATACAAGAATGGCGACGTGCGATATCAGTTTTGACTTCATATGCCGCAGAGTTTTCAGGCATGAATGATAAGATCCTTCCGCTTTTGAAGTATAGCTACGATAGTCTTAAAGGGGACCATGTCAAATTTTGTTTGCTATACTGCGCTTTATATCCGGAAGATGCTAAAATTCCCATAGAAGATTTGATAGACTACTGGATATGCGAAGGAATTATAGATAGAGGTGAAAGTGTTGTAGAGGCTGAGTATATGAGTTATGAGATAATTGGTAGTCTTGTGTGTGCATCATTGTTGATGAAGGGGGTTGATCAGGATGGAAAAGATTTTGTGTGTATGCATGACGTGATTCGTGAAATGGCCTTGTGGATCGCATCTGATTTGGGAAGAGAAAAGGATGTTTTTATTGTGCGTGCAGGTGTTGGGCTACGTGAAATTCCAAGGGTTAGGGATTGGAACATTGTAGAAAGGATGTCATTGATGAAACTGAGGAATAACAAGAGGTTTCATGTTACTGGCACTCCTGAATGTATGAAACTCACAACTTTGCTCCTGCAACATTCGAATTTGGGAAGTATCTCGAGTGAATTCTTCAAGTACATGCCAAATCTTGCTGTGTTGGATCTATCGAATAATGACAGTCTTTGTGAATTGCCGGATCTATCAGGATTAGTTTCCCTGCAATATCTCAACTTGTCAAATACTAGCATACTCCAATTGCCTAAGGGTGTACAAAAGTTGAAGAAACTAATTTACTTGGATTTGGAGAAAACATTTGTTATTTGGGGTAGTACTGGGATATCAAGTCTGCATAATTTGAAAGTTTTGAAGTTATTTGGTTCTCATTTTTATTGGAACACCACATCAGTGAAGGAATTGGAAGCCTTGGAACATTTGGAAGTTTTAACCATAACAATTGATTTTTTTTCTCTGTTTAATGAACTCAGACTGCGGGAGTTGGAATCCTTGGAACACTCAGTAAGTTTAACCTATACAACTCCTTCAGACTATCCAGAACAATTTTTAACCTCACATAGGTTGATGAGTTGTACACAAATTCTAAGAATCTCGAATACCATCAATCTGGAATCATCTGGAATATCACTTCCAGCAACTATGGACAAGCTTCGTGAACTCTACATTTTTAGGAGTTGCAATATCTCTGAGATAAAGATGGGAAGGATATGCAGCTTCTTGAGCCTCGTCAAAGTGCTTATACAAGATTGTAAAGGCCTGAGGGAATTGACATTTCTGATGTTCGCTCCAAATCTTAAATTTTTGTATGTTGATGATGCAAAAGACCTAGAAGATATAATAAACAAAGAGAAAGCTTGTGAAGTTGAAATTAGGATTGTTCCTTTTCAAAAGCTGACTAATCTTCATTTGGAGCATCTACCGAAGCTGGAGAATATATACTGGAGTCCTCTATCCTTTCCATGTCTAAAGAAAATCGATGTATTCGAATGTCCAAACCTGAAAACAATTCCAAAAGTGGCAAGGAGGGTGATAATGGACTCAGCATATGATATAACAAATGGATTGAAGGTGTGGAATGGAAGGACTCTCACTCTCTTTTTTTTTTTCTTTTGGATTTAGAATTGCTTCTGTTAAATTTTACTTCGATCTTTTTGTTTTCACTACACTCAAAACATTGGTGCAAATTTTGTAGTTAGATTGGTTGTTTTTCGAATTGTGTATGTACATTGGAACCGATTTAAACACATATCTAGTTAATCAATAAATAGTATTATCAATTGCCATTGCATAAGAAATCGAACATGTGAAAAACAACTTACGCATAAAATTATATTGGGAAAAATGTCGTTTTATCTCCCAACTTTCAAAAAGTGGTCAATCAATACGTCAACTTCATATGTGGCCATTTAAAACATTAAATAAACGTTGACTAACGTTTGAGACAAGGAAATTCGTTGACCAGGCCAAAATAGACATGCCGTTATCAGTCGTTAACGGAACCTCTAACGCCCGTTATCACCCGTAACGACTCTGTTAATCAACTTTCAAATTGTGGCCATTTTAAACATCAACTTTATATGTGGTCATTTAAAACATGAACTAATCGTTGACTAACATTTGAAACATGAGAATTCGTTGACCAGGCCAAAATAGACATATCGTCATCATTCGTTAAAAAAACCTATAACATCCGTTATCACCCGTTAACGACTCTGTTAGTATATCCAAAACGACGTCGTTTTGAAAATAATCGAGAGAAAATCAGGACAAATTTTTTGTTTAAAGCATAATCCAAGGACATGGTTTGATATATAGACAATCGTAGAGCCAATAATTGGAAGCAAACATCGTTTATATATTTGTTTTAAATCTAAAAAGGAATCATGAAAGCAAACTTGTAGACCCATCATAGGACTAAAATAGGCATGGGCGTTCAGATATTCGGGTCAGGTTCGGGTTGGGTTTTTCGGGTTTGGGTTTTTCGGGTTTAGAAAACTAAGATCCATTCGGGTATTTTAAAACTTCGGGTTCGGGTCAAGTTCGGATCGGGTATTTCGGGTTCGGATTCAGGTTTACCCAAAGTATCCAAATATTAGAAATTTTGTATCCGATCCTATGCAAAGTATTGAAAAATAATCAAAAAATCTATAAAACCCAAGTATTTTAACCCGAATCTAACCCAAAGTAGCTAAAACACCCAAAAATATCTTAACATCCGAATAATTTTGGCACTTAGGTTATTACAAGTATAAATATTACTAATATATTATAACTATGTACTTATATTTTGGGTATGTTCGAGTACTTGTTCGGGTTCGAGTTCGGGTCGGGTTCGGGCCTAGACTAAATGTAGCTTTTCTGAAATGGAGATAGAGATAATAGGACTATTCATCTTGTTTGAGCTGTTGTAGAAATAGATTTGGGGATTTGGTGTTTTCATTTGGGAAAAATCTTTTTGGACATACTAACAGTGTCGTTAACGGGTGATAACGGATGTTATAGGTTCTGTTAACGAATGATGACGACATGTCTACTTTGGCCTGGTCAACGAATTCTAATGTTTCAAATGTTAGTCAACGATTAGTTCATGTTTTGAATGGCCAAATATGAAGTTGATGTTTAAAATGGCCACAATTTGAAAGTTGATTAACAGAGTCGTTACGGGTGATAACGGGCGTTAGAAGTTCCGTTAACGACTGATAACGGCATGTCTATTTTGGCCTGGTCAACGAATTTCTATGTCTCAAACGTTAGTCAACGTTTATTTCATGTTTTAAATGGCCACATATGAAGTTGACGTATTGATTGGCCACTTTTTGAAAGTTGGGAGATAAAACGACATTTTTCCCAAATTATATTGGTCGATTTTGTAGATTATTAGTATCCGTGTAAAGTCTACGTCGCTGGTGGTCTTGCAATTTAAGGTGCAGTGGTGGGTCAGATTCCTTCTTCGTCAGCGGTGGTGTGGTGTCCTCTCCGACGATCTTGCGGTGGCTCCAGTTGGGCGGTGGGTCGATCTGGTGTTGTCATCTCTGGTTAAGGACGCTGGAGGTTTCATCGGAGTCGTACCGTGGCTCAGCCGTTCGATTGGTCGCTGCAGCAACGGCGGAAGTCGGCGGAGAGGTGGTGGGTTTCGCTGAGTTGTTTAGGTGGTTCACGGTAGACCGGCAATCTTGATGGCTTCTGCGGGTTACAGATCTAGAATGCTTGCGTGAGCCTGCAGCCTTTAGATCTGCCGTGGTGGTGTCCACCTGACCGAATTGAAGGTTTTGTCTCTGAGATCTGTTGGATTTTCCGGTATGGTTTGCGGGGATAGTCTCCAGTGGGTCGGATCGCTAGGCATGGGATCTGACTCCGTAGAGCCATTTGTTGGCGAGTTGCGTTTCCCGGGAGGACTGTAGCGGGTTCGGTGGCTCGGTGGTGTGAAACCGACGGCAGAAATCGGATTCTTTCGTCATTGGCATCACTCCCTCGTCGCTGCCACAAAGCCGTCGTCCTTGTTTCCGCTGGGGTTGGTGCGTCTGATTCGTTGCCTCCGGTCGACAGCAAGTTCCGAGCCGCAGCTCCGTTTTCAGGTCATTTTCCGATTTGTTTCTCTCTTTCGTAACTGTACCCACGAATTGTAAGCCCATTGGCCCAAACCCATTAAGGGGTTTTATGAATAAAAAAAAAACTCTTCGTCTGGTTCCCTTTGTCAACCATCAAAAGTTTCACCAATGAACCTAAAACTAGCAGAAAGAAAAAAGCAAGCCTTGAAGTTGCTCATTGTTCTACTTCTGCTATAATTTAAACAACTTTTAATCACCTTAGGTATATTTAAACAAGATAAAAAAAAGTATATAATATCTTCTACTATAATTTCTCAAAGAACAATTCTTGGGGTGAACCTCTTTCATTCACCCCTTCTTAATTAACCAATTAGAATTTGTCATGTCATCCAATAAACCAAATTAAAATAATTAATATTTTATAAACTCAAACCGACTTATAATTTTATTTAATTATAAAATCTAAATCCTAACCACTCTTTTATAAACCCAAACCGACATATAATTCCATTTAATTGTAAAATGTAAACCTTAACCACTCTTATGTAAACCCAAACCGACATAATTTTGCTTAATTGTAAAATCTAAACCCTAAACCTCATTTATAAACCCAAATCGATATATAATTTTGTTTAATTATAAAATCTAAACCCTAATTGATATTTTATAAACCCAAACCGACATACAATTTAGTTTAATTGTAAAAGCTAAACCCTAATCCACATTTGTAAACCCAAACCAACATATACTTTTGTTTAATTATAAATTTAAACCCTATTCACTTTTTTATAAACCCAAACCGATATATAATTAACTTTGTTTAATTAACATTTTTTTTTCTTAATATTTTTGTTTTGTGATTTTAATTTTGATTTATTTTTTAATATAGTGTTACATGGCATATTGTTGTATTTTAATTGTTAATTAAGAAGGGGTGAATAAGATAGCAATAATTTATCTTTCTCAAATTCATTTCATCTAATCAAATTTTCAGTCATTCTTTGTATAGATGTGATATTACATATTGTACTATGATTATTTTTGATAGATTTATTTTTTATAAAATAAAAAATTGCAAACGAAAAAAAAAAGAAGAAAATGTACACTAAAGGAGCCCGTGCAATGCACTCTAGGGTTTTCACTAGTATCCTTGTAATTGTGAAGATTGTGAAGTAGCCGTGATTAGCAATCTAGGGTTTCAACTAGAGTGTCTCCGCCATGAAAACAGAGCGGCAAAACGTCTCGGAGGATGTTGTTGTCGTCACCGAACGCAATAAGCGATCGAAGACCTCAAACAATAATGGAGAACCGATCCCATTTGATTTAACTGTCGAGATTTGTTCGAGACTGCCAGCGAAATCTGTATCAAGATTTCGCTGCGTATCGAAGCTATGGGGTTCCATTCTTGGCCTCCCCTACTTCACGGAGTTGTTCTTGACCAGATCGTTGGCTCGCCCACAACTATTGTTTGCCTGCCGAAAAGACAATCATGTGTTTGTCTTCTCCTCACTTCAGCCTCAAAATCTTGATGATAACAACGCCTCCATTAAGATCCCTACACTAATGTTATTTCTATATCCTTATACCTCCTCTCTTTTAGCGGCCAATTATCATATGAAAATTCCGTATTATGCCTCTTCATTTAAAAGATGTAGTTCTGTCAGAGGCTTGATCTTTCTTGGAGATGAGCGGAGTTTAAATGGAGTGGAGCATAAGGTCTCGGTTATATGTAACCCCAGCACCGGAGAATCTTTGACCTTACCGAAACTAAAGACAAGGAAGAGGATTGGAGTGAGGAGCTATTTTGGGTATGAGCCCATCGAGAAACAATACAAGGTATTGTCCATGACCTGGGGGATATATGGAACACGAGACATGGACTCTGAGGAGCATCAAGTTTTGACATTAGGAACTCGAAAACCGTCATGGAGAATGATCGAATGTTGGATACCCCATTCTCTTTATCATACATACAACAATGTATGCATCAATGGTGTTCTGTATTATCCAGCGGTCAATACGTCTTCAAGGGGTTTCATAATCGTTTCCTTTGACTTTAGGTCGGAGAAGTTCAGATTTGTTGAAGACACAGACACTTCCATTTCATCATATTATCGTCCACCTCTGATAAACTATAATGGTAAATTAGGTTCACTTGGGTCGTCTGGAGGATTTGGCGGTATCGGTGGAAGCTGTACAAGTATTACGTTGCGGGTTCTAGAAGATGCCGAAAAGCATGAATGGTCGGAGCATATATATGTATTACCCGCTTGGTGGAAGTATATTTTTGGAGGGGGATACACAGATTTATGCGTTGTTGGAGTGGCTCGGACAAATGAAATTGTGTTGTCGTGTCCCTTTCCATCCACGCCTTTCTACGTTTTCTACTACAATACAGAGAGAAACGCAATCAGAAGAGTCGAAATCCAAGGATTGGAAGCGTTTAAGGGTCGTTCTGTTTACACCTTTCTAGACCATGTAGAGAATGTGAATATGAAGCTTCTGGAAGGGCTTTAATCATGACTTTTATAACTTTGAGATTTTTGTAACAGAGCTAGTTTGCCAGTTACTCTTTACTTTCATCAATTTTTCAGTTTTCTGTTATGGATATATCATCTTCTAATATGCCATTGGCTTCTTTGGACGCATAAAGCTATTCACATTATGACATTCCAAAAAACCTCTTTATTCAACAAATAACCAATAAAACATGAGGTATATAGTAACTTTAAGGACTCAGAAAAGAGATTCAATATTACAACTTGTTATTGTCACAATCTGATTTACATATAAGACGAAAAGACACTCATAAACACTATATCACCAATGAATCTAAAACTAGCAGAAGAAAAGACAATCCTTGAAGTTGTTCAATCTTCCGATCAATCCTTTGGACATGAGGGCTTTGATTACATTACACCTTGGAACAATCCTCTTCTGCAAGCTGTATCCAAGTCCTGCAGGGTTCGAAACCACAGACTTTAGTGGCCAAATTATCTTCTTCACCAAAAACTCAGTCTTCTTTTCCACGGTCTCTGCAGACAATCCAAAGCACATAGGAAAGCCCTTGACTATCATCACACATTGGTCTCAACGTAGTAGTAAATAATCTCCCATGGATAATACGAACTTGAATCTCATTGCGTCTCACATTACTTCTACAATAAACTCATAACACATTTATTGGTCCTCGTCAACTTATGGCTTTCATAGTAACCCTTAACATGTCAGAAGGGTCTACGAAGATTGACATATATAGAAGACATAGATTTAACTTAAACCGAGAAAATCAATAATTAAGAGAAGAGATAATGTATCATTGAGAATACTATAAATTTTGCGATTATTTATTTATCATCAATAGCCATTACAGAGCAAGAGTACGTAGCATTTCATATATAATAAGTAAAAGTGACAATCTCTGGTTTTATTTATGAACACAAAAGAGATTGTGAGTTTGTAGTTTGTAGGATATTTATTAATAGGTTTGAGCAATAAGCATGAGATCACCTCACGCTCAATTCTTCTTTTATCCTTTGTAGCCCTTCTTCTTCCCAGAGGAACTGCCCTTCACCCTTGAGTCGGATTTTACCGAACCTTTTGCACGTGCAGCAGCAGCTTTTCGATTCGCTGCAGCTTCAGCTTCTCCTGTAGCTTTAGAACCACTTTTAGAAGAAATGTTTGCCTTGCGACCCTTGGCATAGACTTGTCCATTGGTATATGTTGAGCCATATTCGGCTGCATCGGCGTCTGGACCTTTGGGACCATTAGAAGCTCTAGCATAGCTAGAGACGTAAGAGTTGCTGTAAGTTGTGCCATAAGCAGAAAGCTGAGCTCCAATGCCTTTGGTAGTAGTTTTTGGAAGAGAGGTGCCTAATTTGGTCTCTTTGGACACTTCTTCGGCCTGCCTTGCGGTGACAATGGCACACAAAACGCCAATCACGAGAAGCACAACAAACTTTGTGGCATTCATCTTTTGATTTTTTTGTATGTGTGGTGAGTTGTGTTGTGTTCTTCTTCCCAAATCATAGCCCTCTATATATACACAAACAAGATACACATGTATTTATTATGATACATGACTACATGAGCATTTCTTACAAGAAATATACATGCTTAAACGCATTAGTCAAAATCACAACTAATAGTCAGTCGTACCAAGATGTCAACATGATACTATTTTAACACCTCTTGCCAAGATCAATCACAATTTTATCTAACAAGCTAATATTATTGATAGGTTGCGATATCCAATTAATACAATACTTTGAAAGCCATATGCTGGGATTCAATTTAATATCAATAATATAAGATGTTGTGGCAGCCAGCGTTCGAACCTAGCACACTGATTGTGAAGTCGGATTCAAAGAAATAAACGATGGTCAATTAATTTCAAGTAAAATCTATTGATAAATAACAATTCGAAAGTTAGCAAAGGTTACGACTCTTACAACTTTTCGTTACGTATACATTTTATTTACTAAATGTTTCAATGAATCTAGAAAGTGTTTTCAAGTTTGACAAAAAAAAAAAAAAAAAAAAAAAGTATTTTCATCTTTGTACATTTTACTTTCAACCGTAACATTTAATTAGAAAATAATGTGTTCTGGAGGATTGCGTTTCGTTATATATTTACTTCATTTTTTTTTTAATCCCATTTACTTATAACCAGTTTTAATCATTTTAAAAAATATAATGAAATTCCACCTTCTTTTTTCATCATAATTCTATTTTTACAATTTTTTTTATTTTTTTTTGCTATGAATGTTAATATATCATTTAAAAATGAAAAGGTTTGGCATTATAATGTAGAGTCCTATAGCTTTGGTTGGACCCTTGGCAAAAAAAGATAAAAACAAGGAGTCAATAAAACTAATAAGTCATGTGATATGTGAGTTCATGATGTCGAGAGTTGCATCAGGTTGCGGAAAGATTTGCTGTGCCTTCTTGCGGTGATTATGTCGCGAATCTCTCTGCTTATGACATTGCGAATCTTGTTGAGTTTATTCTCCACCATTTTGCAATCTCATTACTTCTGACAATAAACTCAAATACACAATTATAGGTCTTCATCAATTTATGGCTTTCACAATAACCCTTAATATATGCATTAAGGATATCTACATAACACCTAGCTAACGATAAGATTCAAAATCACTTGAATAAATATATTAATAGTAAAAATCAATACATTTTAATTACCTCCACCTTGGTAAACTTTTCTCCGAGTATTTTTTCTGTTCGGTTTTGATAGCTGAAACATTGTTCGGTTCATCATTAACCAGACATTAGGCTCAACCAAAGTTTTCCGCCTAACCCTCGTGCCACAATTTTTCCTACATTCCGGTTTGGTAAAAGCATGCACTTTTGTAGCTGCAGTGGTGTTCGATAACTTGAGGATTTAGTTGTCGGTGATCGCTAGCTCTCCTCTCCTTTTGAGAACTCCACTTGTATACCAATTCTTTGGTTTAGTTCAAGGCATGTTCTATGTTGTGGCTTCCTGTTGTTACTGCCTATGTTGGAAGATTGCTTTGCTTTGCGTACTCGCCTCTTCCTTTCGTCTTGATTGCGCTATAGAGGAGCTAGTAGGGGTAACGGCTTATGGTGTGGTTGTATATAGTCTTATTTAGCTCTGAGCTGCTGACTTCGGGGAATGAACTTGGTTGAGGGAGCTTGCACCATTTGCTTATTTCGCCGTGTGAGGTTCCGTTTCAGGGAAAAAGTTCATGGATTGAAACGAAGAAGCGATCTCACATGACGCAGAGAGAGTATGTGATTGATGATTTGGAGTTTTTGCCGTTGACCGCTCGGTCTCGGACCTCCTGCGAAAGGTTTCTAAAGCTAGTTGTCAGTCGTAACAAGGTGTTTTACAATCTGCTTTCGCCCTTCTCCTTTTGCAGCTCTTCCGGGAAGGACAATATAAACGCCATCGCTTCATGTTGTTCCCACAACTTCTTTGTTTGGTTGAGTAGATAGACTGAAAACTTGGTTTAATTACCGTCTTATGCTTCCATGTTTTTATCTTTTTTTTTTACCATGGAACCATGTGTATAGGTTTCAAATCTTTGGATTGTAACCTAAACTGTTTTCATTATCTATGAAATATTTACAATTTAGCAAAAGAAAAAAAAAAAGCATGCACCGGAGTTACAACACAAAGATCTTTTCTTCAGTCCGTCTTGAACAAAAATCGTAACGTAAAAACTCAAATCGATCGAGAAAGTATCCAAATTCAAGAGATTGATCGTTAGCAATACTCTCCAAACCCTTCTTTCTTCTGTATCCTCCTCTGTTTTTGTCTCCACACAACCAGAACCGCCCGATCTCATCGAGTAATAAGGCTTCATAAGGTAATGGCTTCTCGCCTTCTCTAAGATGCTAATAGAGGAATCACATGCAGATCTATTTTACTATATAGAATATGAAATTTATTTTTGATGTGAAGAGAAGAAACAGAGATAGAGAAACATTACCATTTCGTGAGAACTACTATATTCATCAGGAAGAAAAACTTGAAAAAATCCCAAGTCTTTACGTGCATAAGAAGATGAAGAAGAAACCTTGTTACCAGTTTCAACCACTTTTTTTTTTTGTTTTTGGTAGTGAGTGATTAAATTTAAACCAAAAGGTAAAGACTAACAGAATCAAGTATATTTTAGAAACAGTGTATCTTATAAGAAATGACTAGAGGATTTATCTTATGTGATGTACGTACTGATGTTCTAAGTCTGACAATGTTTAAACAAGAAAAAAAAAGAAAAGCTGAGCAAGGAAAATAAAATGTTAAACCGAATACTTAAAACATATTCGCATGAACCCTGTTGTTTATGAGAGTCATCATATTCACATGTTCTTGAAGTTTCTCTTCCACAAGAATATTAAGTCATTATTTTACCACAAGAATATTCATTGCATTTATTTTATTATCCAAAAAGCCATTAATGAGAAAGAGTAGCATTTCATATATAATAAGTAAAAGTGACAATCTCTGGTTTTATTTATGAACACAAAAGAGATTGTGAGTTTGTAGTTTGTAGGATATTTATTAATAGGTTTGAGCAATAAGCATGAGATCACCTCACGCTCAATTCTTCTTTTATCCTTTGTAGCCCTTCTTCTTCCCAGAGGAACTGCCCTTCACCCTTGAGTCGGATTTTACCGAACCTTTTGCACGTGCAGCAGCAGCTTTTCGATTCGCTGCAGCTTCAGCTTCTCCTGTAGCTTTAGAACCACTTTTAGAAGAAATGTTTGCCTTGCGACCCTTGGCATAGACTTGTCCATTGGTATATGTTGAGCCATATTCGGCTGCATCGGCGTCTGGACCTTTGGGACCATTAGAAGCTCTAGCATAGCTAGAGACGTAAGAGTTGCTGTAAGTTGTGCCATAAGCAGAAAGCTGAGCTCCAATGCCTTTGGTAGTAGTTTTTGGAAGAGAGGTGCCTAATTTGGTCTCTTTGGACACTTCTTCGGCCTGCCTTGCGGTGACAATGGCACACAAAACGCCAATCACGAGAAGCACAACAAACTTTGTGGCATTCATCTTTTTATTTTTTTTTGGAATTGAATGGTGTGTTTGTGGTGAGTTGTGTTGTGTTCTTCTTCCCAAATCATAGCCCTCTATATATACAAAAACTCGATACACATGTATTTATTATGATACATGAACATTTCCTACAAGAAATATACATAAGCTTAAACTACAACTAATAGTCATACCAACATGTCAACATGATACTATTTTAACACTTCTTGCCAAGATCAATCACAATTTTATCTAACTAGCTAATATTATGGATAGAGTGCGATATCCATTTAATACTATACTATAAATGTGATCTATTATTCGAACTTGAAAGCAAACCTCTTAAGGCTTCTTAATGCAAATAAACTCTGAATCCAGAGAGTAAGAAATGTCCATTTTGTTACCTGAAAACAAATCATTTTTCTACACTCCACCAACTACAAGAAAGGTTCTAACAACGACCATTAAAATCCTCAATTAGGGTCCTCCACTTTGATTCCAACTAAAGCTTCTTAATTGAAAATACGAACCTGATACAGAGTAGAGACCATGTAAACCATAACTTCCGCACAACATAATCCAAAAGAGCAGCGAAAAAATTGACAAGCAAGTATGGAAATGAAAAGGAGAAAAATATTGAACTTGACACGTCTCTCGTAGCAGCTCGTAACAAGAACTAAAGAGCCAATGTATCCATGCAACATTTTAGACATATCATGAAATCATTGGATCCAGGTCAAATTGAGATTACAGAAGCACAAAAATTGGGGTTTCATCGATACATTAACAAAGCTTTTCTTTTGCTTCCCATTGTCATATCAAAAGATCCATCGACAGATCTAAAACTGACAACAACAAAATAAGAACAAACCTTGGCATTGCTCATTGTTGTAGGTGTGCCTTTTGATCTATGAAACACGACCTTTGGTGAAGATAGCCATCAACGTAGGCGCCAGCTCGTTGTGCTTCATCACATACCTATTTAAAAATCCTTCATCGGTACACGACAAAACAGAGGACACTGCAGGTAGTTCGCTTTTCTTTCTGAGCAGTCCTTTCGACAAGAGAACTTTGAGTACGTTACACCTTGGTATAATCCTCTTCTCCATGCTGTATCCAAACACCTGAGGGTGCAAAACCAAGGCATTTAGTGGCCAATTCATCTTCTTCACCAGAAACTCATTCTTCCTTTTAACCGACTCTAGAGAATATTCAATGCAAGGAGGATAACGCTTGACCATCATCAAAAACTCAGCTCTGCTAAATCCTAGGGCTAGAAATGTTTCAGCAGACTTCAATATCTTCTTCTTGGAGACTTTCAAAACGGAAGGAGTCTTCTTGAAAATTTCCCATACATCATCCAGAGTAAAACCTACACTTGTATAGACTACAACTTTTTCTTCAATCGTTTTCTCGCTCATTTGGTAAAGCATGCGCAAAGCTACAACAAACTTAGAGGTGGTGGGATCAAAACCCATCTCAACAACCTTCTTAAGGGATTCTTCAAAATTTTCTTTTCCACACACAGGCTGCGATTTGGAGACAAGCAAGGGTAATAACAACCACTGAGGCATGCCCAATTGTCTCAAAACAGATACATTTCGGATTTTATTCCCCTGAGAACCCCGTGGGAGTTCATAACTCGAACTCTTATCGGCTACTATAATTTCTTTGACAGCATCATAGTATACAGTGATAGATTTCCTTCCTAAGATTCTCGGAACTGTAGAAACAATCTCAGTGAGTTCAGAGCTTGAAGCTCCTCTAGACTGTAGAATCTGAAGCTTGCGACCAAGTGATTTCTCAGCATCTAGTATAAGCAATTCTGGATAATCGGTAATGATGCAGGAGATCTGAGAATCTATGAAGCCATGACTTCTCAAAAGACTCAGAACTGAATCCGGATTTGCCTTGTCGGTGAAATGAACTTTCCTTGAGATCGATTCTGCGAGTTTTGTAGTGAAACCCAATGAATCAACGAGGTAAGAGACCGTAAAGTTCTTTCCTTTTCGACCATCTCTTGACCTCACATCAGCAGCAGCAGCAGAAGAGAAGGAATTGGACAAAGGAGATGCATTTTGCAGAGCAAATCTCAAATGGCGCCATTTATGCAATTCGACCAACCTTCTTCCATGGAGAATCAGAGAATACATGACAAAGACTAGGCTATGCGATTACAGAACCAGAAACAGAGCAGAGGAGAAGGAAAAACAGAGAATCGCAAAAATCGAAACTTTGGGGGAGGAAATAACGAAATAAGGCTTTATGATAAGTTTCTCTCACCCATAAACCCTAATGAATTTCAATTAGGATTCCTCTTTGATCCTCATTTTTCATAAATTTTTAAAACTACAAAAGAGTTTTGTAGCTAGTTGGATTCGAACCTAGGTCTTATCACTAGAGTTACAGCTTTTTTTTTTTTTTTTTTTGACAGTAAAATCTAAAATGTTTGATTAGAGTGCGTGTAGTGATCTTTTAATAACCAAGCAACCGGAGGGCTGTATTAGTCGTGACATTGAATTACATATCCTGTCGATGTCAAGCGCTTAGTTAGAACACCCAAGGGAACAAGAACATTGAACTTAAGGAGAAGAAAAATTCAACAAGCCGTGTGACAAACGAAACTGAATCGTCCTTGTGCGTCAGTCTAGCAACAACATATAAAGTTCTTCATTCCCTATCAAGACTATATAGAACTCATCCATTAAAGCTCCTCAACGACAAAAAGTTCCTGATCGTTGTCGTGAGTAGGTGGCCTTAAGATCTATGAAGCATGATCTCCAGTGAAGATTGACATCAACTCAGCAACAAGCTCTTTGTCAACGTGCTTCCTCACATAAAAGTTTAAGAAATGCTGATCGGTACTCATCAAAACAGACCGCATTGGAGGGAGTTGGCCTCCTCTGTCTTTGAGCAATCCTTTGGACATGAGATTTTTGATTATGTTACACCTTGGTACAATCCTCTTCTCCATGCTATATCCAAGTATCGAAGGGTTCGAAACAACAGCCTTTAGTGGCCAGTTCATCTTCTTCACCAAAAACTCTGTCTTCTTCTTGACCGACTCTGCTGAATAACTAAGACAGATCGGTTGTTGTTTGACTATTGTCGTCAACTCATCTCTGCTGAATCCTAGGCCACGAAATGTTTCAATGGAGTTAAATATCTTCTTCTCCGAGAAATTCAGAAAAGAAGGATGCTTCTTGAACATTGCCCATACATCAAAAAAACCTAATCTTTTGCAGATATTAACTTTCTCTTCTATAGTTTTGTGGCTAAATCCTTGAACAACGCTTAGAGCTTGGACAAACTTTGAGGTGGTTGGATCAAAACCCATCTCAACAACCTTCTTGAGGGTTTCTTCAAATTTTTCTTTTCCACATATCTATAGGCTGATAGTTTTGTGCCCTTTCTTTCCCAAGATTTTAGGAACTGTAGATACAATCTGAGTGAGCTCAGAGCTTGAAGCTCCTCTAGACAGCAGAAACTGAAGCTTGGGACCAAGTGATTTCTCAGCATCTAATGTAAGCAATGGTGGATAATTCGTAATGATGGTGGAGATCTGAGAATCAGTGAAACCATGACTTCTCAAAAGATTCAGAACAGACTCAGGATTTGCCTTGTCCTCGAAACTAACTTTCCTTGAGATCGATTCTGCGAGTTTTTTAGGTAAACCCAAAGAATCAAAGAGGTAAGAGACTGTAAAGTTGTTCCCTTTTAGATCATCTCTAAGGCTTGCATCAGCAGCAGAGGAGAAGTAATTGGATAAAGGAGATGCCTTTTGCACTGAAACTCTCAAATGTCGCCATTTCTGCAATTCGACCAACTTTCTTCCATGGAGAATCAGAGAATACATGACAAATCAATGCAATTACCAAACCTCGAAAAGGAGCCAAACAAAAATCCACAAATGCTACAATGTTGAAAGCTAGTCCGACCCAACTCTCTGTTTCAGTTCAAGGAGATGAATCAAAGCATAACTACCAAAATTTCTCTGAAATTACGAACAATAACAAGAAATCCACCGCTTCTAAATCGCAAAAATCCAAACTTTGGGGATGAAATAACGAAAATTGGGGTTTATGCTGCAAATATCATAAGTTGCTCCACCGATAAACCCTAACGAAATTCAATTAGGTTTCCTTTTCTTTTACAATTTTTTTATAAATTCAAAGAGTCGTGTAGCTGCTGGTATTCGAACCTACGTCTCACCACTAAGTTACAGCTATTTTTGTGTCATTGTGTGTGTATCTGCTTTAAATTATTTAAGTGCTGAGCTTCCTACTTTGCTTGTGCCATATCAGATTTCTCCTTGGCAAGCTTCTCTTGTTCTTAGCATTTCTCTTCTGGAAGAGAATTTCCAAAGTCAAAACACATCTTTGGAGGCTATGAAGAAATCTTTTCATTTAGTCATTATAATCATATACACTTTGTACATTGAAAACCCGGACTGCATACTCTAGCCTTATTGCGCCTCCAGTCATCTTCCGATAACTTTTATTCCAGTTTGGTTCACGAGGATCTCACGTTCTGTGTCACAAGATCATCGACTCAAAAGACTCAAGTATATCTGTAATCTGGTTACTGTCTGTCAACCAAATATGATCCTACATAATTAACATGCAACAATGGTGACTACTCTGTATGAATAGCTCTCTTCAATGCTTTTCTGGATTCATCACTGGAAAAAAGATAAGAGAACCACACACCAAAGAACTATCAAGAACGAACAAACAGAGTTGAATATGTAAGTTTCCTTGAATATATAAGAGAGTCAACTGCCAGAAGTGTTAGCTAAGTTCAAGTTAAAGGTGAAAACTTATATGAGAGTAGATTCTGAATTCTTCGAAGATGAAAGGAACTTAATATAGTTTTGAGTTGACGTACCATTGTAAACTTGTAGATTGCATTTTTTCAAGGGAACCATATTTCATATGTCTAAAAACGCAATAAGACCAATAAAAGGAAAAGATAGTTCTGACAGATTTAGCCTATAGATATCAGGTAAATGCGTTGAATGAGCGCATTAATAAACAACCAATGCATTACACTATCTCAATGTACCTATAATAACGCCTGAACCTGAAAAAGTTTCTAGGATCATATGCTTGGATTTCTTTAATAAACTTGAGTGTGTATACTAATCAGCATATTACCTTGTGAGTCAAAGAGGGGAAAACGGTCTATTTCCCCACAAAAACTATCACATCATAATAGATAGAGCCCAAACTATAACCTCGTGCTAGATATCCATGAAAAAATACTTCGCATCCTAAATCTCTCCGAATTCAAAGTTCGAAATCGCAAAACCCATATATATTGGTTTGACTGGTTTATGACTTAAACCGATATCAAACCCACCTCAAACCAAGCAAACCCGAAATTGTAACCTTGTTACGTCACCAACATCGGAATTGTGACCGGAGAAGACGAAGAGAAACCACTGTCACGCCATCAAGATCGTCCTCGCATCATCCCTAATCCTAAAAACCGGATCCCTAAATCTCCATCTCAACAGGTTCAAATAACAGCCGACGACTTCTTAAATGAATCTGAATTCTCTCTCTCTGTTAAGGAGAGATGATTTGCTCATGGTCGCCTTCGTCACCGGAGCCAAGCTACCGCCGTCTTCAAGTCCAAGCAAACATCAACCGCAATGGCCAAATCAGAGTTTGAGTTTCGTGAAGGCCAAATTGTAGATGGGTTTCTCATTATTGTCGTTAATTGTTCTTGATTTTGAGTATCAAGCTCTCATGTAAAGTGAATCGATTTTGTTTTGGGTGATGTCACAGATTGTAGAAGAAGTGCGAATCCAAAAGAAAAAAGAATTAAAAAATTGCTTGATTCTAAATTTGTCTAATCCAAAGATTAGATTTTGCTCTTGAAAACACAATTGCAGAGAAGTGCAATTGACACAAATTGCAGAGTGCAAAGCTTTTATAAAAACTCAATTCAAAGATTAGATTTTGTTAGATAAAACATTCACACCATAATTTGTAAAGCTTTCATGAATCGCTGTTTGAGAATAGCACTACAGTTTAACCAAATTTAAACATTAGATTTTGCAATTGTAATATTGAGAAATCTAATCTTTGAATTGAGTTGAATCAAATGGTAAAAATTCCATCGAGATATGAATCTCATCGTCACCAAAATCTCAACAATCAAAAAGTGAATCAGAATCAGAGGAGGAAATCAAATGAGAGTGGCCGGCCAAAATCCCACGGTAAAAGGAGGCGTTGTCGCTCCGGCCAAGCTCCGAAGAAAATATGGTGAACCAAAAAGAAATTGGTTTGGTTAAGAGATTTTGTTGTTGTAATTGGTTTACATCCGGTTTACTATAGTATTTAGGTGGTTAATAATTGTTTGGTAAACAATAAACCGAAATTAATGGGTGATGAGATTTCGAACTATGATTTCGGGGAGATATAAGTTTCGAACTTTGAATTCGGAGAGATTTAGGATGCGAAGTATTTTTTCGGGGATATTTAGCATGAGGTTATAGTTTGGGCTCTATCTATTATGATGTGATAGTTTTCGTGGGGAAATAGACCGTTTTCCCGTCAAAGAGAGATAACTTGAGTGTTTTCACTCCAGTGGTCGTGAGCCATAACTAAAGCTCAAAACAACGTTCAAAACGTCCCAAGCTTCTTGAGTTAGAAGCTAGATGTTAGATATAACCAACTTGGACTGGATGATAATCTGATTTATGAGTCCTAAAAACGTGTATGAAACGACATAGCAAGTAAAGACCAAGATCACCAATCTGAGAATACAAACATTCCACAAATCAGATGAATCATATGATCAAAGAATATATAAAGCAATGACAGAGCTTACATGACGACTCCACAAACTCTAGAGCAAAGAATATATAAGCAAAGATTATAATGTATCATAAGATGATTTTGGTATCAGTAGCTGTAATTGCAGTACTCCAGTCCCAAAGTTTAAAGAATAAAGTCAGATATTAAAGCCAATCAGGAAACCAAAAACTAAACACTTATTGAGGAATGGAAAAGGCTTACATGACCCAATCCAAAAACTCAGGATCTGCTTTGCATCATCCAAATCCATATCCAAACAAGGTCACAAAGAATTCGGAAACTAACTGCTATAGGAAAACAAAATCAAAAAATTTGGCTGCGTTGTTGTTTCTACGCTACAAACCTCAGTAATATATCAGAAAAGGGATTCAAAATTACAATTTTAAGCATATAGCAAGAGAAACGGTTCAGACCAATATGATTGAGAACTAAAAAGTCCAAAATTGAGGTTTTCAGATATTCAAAGATAAAACCAAAATTCTTGACAAGCCTTGCGATCTATGAAGCACGATAGATAGCCATCAACTCAGTCACCAGCTGCTTGTCCTCATGCTTCTTCACATACCTGTTTAAGAACACCTGATTGGTACATATAAAGACATGTGATATCGAAGGGAGTTCACTTCCGATCAATCCTTTGGAGATGAGAGCTTTGATTACGTTACCCCTTGGGACAGTCCTCTTCTCCATGCTGTATCCAAGTATCGCAGGGTTTGAAACCAAAGCCTTTATTGGCCAGTTCATCTTCTTGACCAGAAACTCGGTCTTCTTTTTAACCGTCTCTGGGGATAATCCAATGCCCTGAGGAAAGCGCTTAACCAACATGGAAAACTCATCTCTGGTGAATCCCAGGCCTAGAAATGTTTCAATGGTGCTCAATATCTTCTTCTCTGAATGTGTCAGAAAGTTTGGCCACCTCTTGAACACTGCCCATACATTTCCCACATCAAAGCCTAACCTTTCATACGCATTGACTTTTTCTTCTATTGTTTTGTCGCTCAATCTTTGAACAACTCGTAGAGCTTCGAGAAACTTTGCAGAGGTCGGATCAAAACCCATGTCAACAACTTTCTTGAGGGATTCTTCAAATTTTTCTTTACCGAAGACAGGTACGTCACAAGAGATGAGCAAGGGGAATAACAACTTGTGAGGCATTCCCAATTCTCTCAAAACCGATATATTTCTGATCTTGTTCTCCAGATTACCCTGTGGAAAAGAATGACATGACTTTTCCTTCTTGGAACTCTTATCATGTAATAAAGTGTCTTTGATGAAATCATAGTATACGCTGATAGTTTTGTGCCCTCTCTTTCCCAAGATTTTCGGAACTTGTGAAACAATCTCAGTGAGCTCAGAGCTTGAAGCTTCTCTAGACTGCAAAAACTGAAGCTTGGGACCAAGTGATTTCTCAGCATCAGCTATAAGCAATTGTGGATAATCCGTAACAATGCTTGAGATCTGAGAATCAGTGAACCCATGACTTCTAAAAAGATTCAGAACAGAATCAGGATTGGCCTTGTCCTCGAAGCTAACTTTCCTTGAAATCGATTCTGCGAGCTTTCTAGCTAAACCCAAAGAATCAACGAGGTAAGAGACTGTAAAGTTGTTACCTTTTCGACCAACTCTAGAACTCGTACGTGCAACAGTAGCAGAGGAGAATGAATTGGATAAAGGAGATGCCTTTTGCACTAAAAAACTCAAATGACGCCATTTCTGCAACTCGACCAACCTTCTTCCATGGCGAATCAGAGAATACATGACAAAGACTAGGCTATGCGATTACGATTCAAACAAATGCTACAGTGTTTGAAAGTGATTCCGACCCGAACTGTCTATTGCAATTCGAGAAGTAGAATCACACAGTCATCAAATTTCTCTGAAACTACGAACAAGAACAATAATAAGAAACTCACTCAAAAATTGGGGATTTATGATGTTTATAGCATAATTTCATAACCCCAACGATCATAAACCCTAATAATTTGGACCAATTAGGGTTCCTCCTTTAATTTATTAACGTTTTTCAAAATTAGTAAGGTTAATGTTACTGCCGGAATTCGAACCCAGGTCTTACCACTTGACTAGAGTTATTTTTGTTAGCTTTTGTCATAATAAACAGATTCTCTGCTTTCATTTACTAAATCACTAGTATAGTTACATTGAGAGTTTGTGACTGGAGCATGTTTTCAGCAATTATGGTTGTAGTAGCTTCATGTCAGGGCAAACTCATCTCTGCTGAATCCTGGACCTAGAAATGCTTCAATGGAGATCAACATATTCTTCACCGAGACTGTTAGAAAGAATGGATACTTCTTGAAGATTGCTCATACGTCTTCCGCAGCAAAGCCTAACCTTTGGTAGACATTGACCTTTTCCTCTATCATTCCTAAGGTTTTAGAAACAATCTCAGTGAGCTTGAAGCTCCACTGAAGCTTGGGAGCAAAACTTTAAATAGGTGGAATTATATACAGTGAGATTGTGGGTTTAGGGATTGACTAACGGACCATTGGAGTAAACACACTCAAGTTCATTTCTCTTAAATTTTAGACTGAAGCTCACCAACCTTCAAAGCATCCTGAGCTTCTTCAGTTTCTAGTGTAATAATAGCTAGATTCCAGATTTTACCAACCTGGATTGGATGACTAAATGATTTATGAGTCCTAATGATGTGGAACAATGTACCACAAGCTCATTAAAAAATGTGTATGAAACGCCATAGCAAGTAAAGACCACGATCACCAATCTGAGAATAAAAACATCCCACAAAATCACAAAATCAGATGAATAAAATGATCAACGAATATATAAAGCAACGACAAAGCAAGATTTTTAAGTATAATAATAGGATTTTGGTATCACCAGCGGTGATTCAGTACTCCAATTCCAAAACTTTCATGAAAAATGTGAAATTATAGCCGGTGAGGAAGATAAAGATCAAACACTAATTGACTAGCAGAAAAGACTTACGTGACCAATCGTATAACTCAAGAGCTACATTGCATCATTCAACTCGTATCCGAACAAAGTCACAAAGAATTCAGAAACTATCTGCTTTAGAATAAATCAACAAATATAGAATATGGATTCACATGTCCCCTTCAGCTCTTTGGCTGCGTTGCTTTTCTCTAGGCTACAAACTCAGTAATATATGGGAAAATTACAGTCCTAATCCGGATCAAATTGAGGACTAAAAAGGTTTCTCAGATATTCATAGATAAACAAAAATGCTTGTGATCTATGAAGCACGATAGATAGCCATCAACTCAGTCACCAGCTGCTTGTCCTCGTGATTCTCCACATACCTATTTAAAAACACCAGTTTGGAACACATGAGGACACACGATATCGAAGGGAGTTCATTTCCGATCAATCCTTTGGACATGAGAGCTTTGATTACGTTACCCCTTGGGACGATCCTCTTCTCCAGGCTGTATCCAAGTACTGCAGGGTTTGAAACCAGAGCCTTTAGTGGCCAATTCATCTTCTTCACCAAGAACTCAGTTTTCTTTTTGACCATCTCTGTAGATAATCCAATGCACGGAGGAAAGTGCTTGACCATCTTCGCAAACTCATCTCTGCTGAATCCTAGGCCAAGAAATGTTTCAATGGAGTCCAACATCTTCTTCTCCGTTACTCTCAGAGAGATTGGCCACTTTTTGAAACTTGACCATACATCTCCCGCATCAAAGCCTAAGCTTTTATAGAGATTGAATCTTTCTTCGATTGTTTTCTCGTTCATTTTGTAAATAACGTTTAGAGCTTCGACAAACTTTCCGGTGGTTGGATCAAAACCCATCTCAACAACCTTCTTGAGGGTTCCTTCAAATTTTTCTTTTCCACATACAGGTTGGCTATCGGAGATGAGCAAGGAGAATAACAACTTGTGAGGCATGCCCAATTCTCTTAAAACCGATACATTTCTGATCTTGTTCTCTAGATTACCCGGTGGAAAAGAATGACATAACTTTTCGTACTTGAAACTCTTATCATGTAAAGTGTCTTTGATGAAATCATAGTATACGCTGATAGTTTTGTCCCCTTTCTTTCCCAATATTTCCGGAACCTTTGAAACAATCTGAGTGAGCTCAAAGCTTGACGCTTCTCTGGACTGCAAAAACTGAAGCTTGGGACCAAGGGATTTCTCAGCATCTAGTATAAGCAAACGTGGGTAAATCTCAATCATGCTAGAGATCTGAGAATCAGTGAACCCCTGACATCTAAAAAGACTCAGAACAGAATCAGGATTGCCCTTGTCCTCGAAGCTGACTTTCCTTGAAATCGATTCTGCGAGCTTTTTAGGTAAACCTAATGAATCAACGAGGTAAGAGAAAGTAAAGTCCTTTCCTTTTCGACCAACTCTAGGACTCAAATGTGCAGCAGTAGTAGCAAAGGAAAACAAATTGAAAAAAGAAGATGCATTTGGCACTGAAACACTCAAGTTACGCCATTTCTGCAACTCGACTGACCTTCTTCCATGGAGTATCAGAGAATACATGACACCAGGCAAATGCAATTACCGAACCCTGAACAGGACCGAAAGAGAAGGCAATACAAAACCAACGAAAGCCAACAGTTTCTGACTCAATTCGAGCAAATAAATCTCAAAAGTTCTCCAAACTTACTGATGAGCGGGGAAGAAGAACAGATGACTCATTCTTCGATCAGTGACTCATGCCGGTAAAGATCTGATGAGTGTTGGATCGTTCAAGGATTCAAATTTGGGAACAAGTAAAAAAGAAACGATTTTTATTTTAGGGTTTTTGATAGCAAATTGATTTTAGGGTCTGATGATGTCAGTTTTTTTTTTAAAGGAAACAAAAAATATATTAATCCAACGGTTCTAATTGTTTAAAGCATATCAATCCAAATCCAACGGTTCCAGTTGCTTTTATCCATTTCTTCGTTTGGCAAACCTCAAATAAACAATTTTTAAATTTGTTTAAATTGTTAACATTAACAAAGTTTAGTTAATTACTTTTAGTGTTAGTTTTAGGTTTTAACAATGTTTGAGTTGTTGCAATTTGCATATTTCGGCCATTGACTATGTTTAAGCTCAGAATGTTAATGTAGTATGTTCCATACGGGACTAAAGTCGGACCAGTCCACACTTAGTTTCTCCACTCTCGTTCTATCATGGACGATTATCGATGGTTTCACAGTTTGTTCGGATTTTTGGTTACCTTGAGAATTCGAAATAGTAGGGCAGATTATATGTAAAACTGTTTTTGTTGGTAAATAATAATTTTACATTCATACAAAAAAAAAATAACGGTTAAAGTAGATTGTGCTTACAGAGGCCATCATTGACAGTGTTTTCTCTCCAATTCTTGAAGCCTTAATTCTAAAACGTGTAGCACAAAATTAGTTTGTTTCACACACACATAGATTAAAGCTCTTGAACGACAAAAGATTCACCAACCATAAGTTATCAATTAAATCCTATGACTAGCCGTCTATGAAGCACAATCTTCGGAGAGCATTGTCATCAACTTAGCCACAAGCTCCTTGTCATTGTGCTTGATCAATGTTGTACGAGAGATTAGGAATTTGCTGCTCCCTAACGTTACCTTTGTCTGAAATAATATTACCTTAGATTGTGTTTACAAAGGCCATAATTGCCAGTGTTTTCTCTCTAATTCTTGAAGCCTTAATTCTAAACGTGTAGCACAAAATTAGTTTGTTTCAAACACACAGATTAAAGCTCTTCTTCAACGACAAAAGATTCACCAACGAACCAGAAACTAACAATTAAATCCTATGACAAGCCTTCTGATCTACGAAGCACGATCTCCAGTGAGGATTGTCATCAACTCAGCCACAAGCTTCTTGTCATTGTGCTTGATCACATACCTCTTAAAGAAGACCTGATTGGTACTCTTCAAAACAGACCCGATTGGAGGGAGTTTGCTTCCTGTGTCTCCGAGCAGTCCTTTGGACATGAGAGCTTTAATTACGTTACACCTTGGTACAATCCTCTTCTCCATGTTGTATCCAAGTACCGCAGGGTTTAAAACCAGGGCCTTTAGCGGCCAATTCATCTTCTTCACCAGAAATTCGGTCTTCTTTTTAACCGTCTCTGCGGATAATCCAATGCCCTGAGGAAAGCTCTTGACCATATTTGCAAATTCATCTCTGCTGAATCCTAGACCTAGGAATGTTTCTACAGAGTTCAATATGTTCTTCTCAGAGAGCGCCAGAAAGATTGGATATTTGTTGAAAATTTCCCATACATCATCAAAGCCTAAACTTTTATAAAGATTGGCTTTTTCTTCTATTGTTTTTGCGCTTAATCCTTGAACAATGCGCAGAGCTTTAACAAACTTTGTAGTGGTCGGATCAAAACCCATCTCAACAAGCTTCTTAATTGATTCTCCAAACCTTTCTTTCCCATTGACAGGTCCCCCACTAGAGATAAGCAAGGGGAATAACAACCTCTGAGGCACACCGAGTTCTCTTAAAACCGATATATTCCGGATTTTATTCTCTAGATTACCCACAGGCAAAGAATGACATAACTTGTCGTAATTGGAACTCTTATCTGCTTCAACAATGACTTTGACGAAATCATAGTATCTGCTTAGCGTTTTGTCTCCTTTCTTTGCCAATATTTCCGGAACCTTTGAAACAATCTCGGTGAGCTCAGAGCTTGAAGCTCCTCTGGACTGCAAAAACTTAAGCTTGGGAGCAAGTGATTTCTTAGCATCTAATAAAAACAATCGTGGATAAATCGTAATGATGCTGGAGATCTGAGAATCTGTGAACCCATGACTAGTCAAAAGACTCAGAACTGACTCAGGATTTGCCTTGCCCTCGGAGATTGATTCTGCGAGCTTTCTAGTTAAACCAAGAGAATCAACGAGGTAACTGTAAGAGATCGTAAAAATCTCCCCTTTTCGACAATCTTTAGTGCTCACAGTGGAAAAAGAAGAAGCCTTTTGCACTGAAAAACTCAAATGACACCATTTCTGTAACTGGACCAACCTTCTTCCATGGAGTATCAGAGAACACATAATGATCTCTCAACTCACTCACTCACTCACTCACTCAGGTCTCGATTGATTGAGAGCTTTACATTTTTTTATTCACTCGTGAAACCCTAAATCGCATAAAGAATCGAAATTTGGTCTTGATTCTTTCAAAACCGGTACAAGCTTATGGGTTTCACACCCTCTGGTTATCGTGGAACAACATTACAACAATATGGATCCGGTTCTGTCTCAAAACCGAAATTTGGTCTGCTCTAAATACCAAACATTTTCAACCAACCTTTTCAAAGAGCATTAGCCTTAAATCTGTCAGCTTTATACTTCTCAAGCTATTCCTTCTTTGAGGTTTCTCTTATAGAAGAAAATTTTCAGTCATATCCATCTTCAAAGGCTATTCGAAGAACACACAAAATCAATGTGTTAGGCTGCTTTGTGGATACGAGACACGACCACCAATCTCCATATAGCCTTGTTGTTTCCAATCTCCTCGTGCCAATCATTGAATCCTCTCATTATCTAAACGTTTAGTTCACTGTACATAATAGATACACACCTGTGAGAAACCCTTCTATGTCTTCTTCAGGTTTCTCAACAGAAGGGTTAACAAGCCCCCTATTGCTTCTTGCCAAATTCTCCTCAACGGGTGCTTCAATTTCTTTCCTATTACAAACCTCCCTTTCCGCTTTGATCACTAGTTCTTCGAAAACTTGCTCATATGATTGATCAACAATATATTGAAAGTTACTTGATTAACCAAGTTGCCTTGTTTCTGCATTTCAGATAAGCATGTGAATGCAAAGACACACCTATCTCCACGTTTCTAGGCCACAAAAAGAGTTCAAGGACTCAAAAAAGATAGAATATTACTGTGTTATTTTCCAAGTTGGAGTGCATATTAAAACGAGTCAGATCCACATCAAATTGAGATTACAGAAGTCTAAACATGTATCAGAGGTTTGTAAATAAATCTCCTCTTTTCACTTCTCATTGTCTGATGATGTCAAAAGATTCATGGATGAATCTAAAAGCTCACAACAATACAAACCTTAATGCTGCTCATTGTTGTAGTGTAGGGTAGGCCTTCTGCTATATATAAAAGCTCCACTTTTCACTTACCATTTTCTCCAGTGAAGATAGCCATCAACTCAGGCACCAGCTTGTCGTACTTCATCACATACCTCCTCAAAAATGCCTGATCGGTACTTGTCAAAATAGATGACATTGGAGGGATTTCACTTCCAAGCAATCCTTTTGACATGAGAGTTTTGATTACATTACACCTTGGGACAGTCCTCTTCTCCAGGCTGTATCCAAATATCTGAGGGATCAAAACCAAACCCTCTAGTGGCCAATTCATCTTCTTCACAATAAAATCAGTTTTCTTCTTCACTGTCTCGGCAGTATAGTCAATGCATTGAGGATAACGCTTGATCATCATCGCAAACTCGTCTCTGCTGAATCCTAGGCCTAAAAAATTTTCAATGGAGTTTACTATCTTCTGCTCTGAAGAACAAATGCACTTTGGATGCTTCTTTATCAATGACAGGACCTCGTGTTTGAGCAGACCGCACCTCATAAGGGTTTCAAACGTATGAGTTATCTTCTTCTCTGAGTATGACAAAAAAGAAGGCCACTTCTTGAAGATTGCCCATACATCAGCCACACCAAAGCCTAACCTTTTGTAAACATTGACTTTTTCTTTTATTGTTTTGTCGCTCATTCTGTAAATAACGCGCAGAGCTTCAACAAACTTTGAGGTCTCCGGATCAAAACCCATCTCAACAACCTTCTTGAGTGATTCTTCAAATCTTTCTTTCCCACAAACAGGTTGGCTATCAGAGATGAGCAAGGGGAATAACAAACGCTGAGCCACACCCAATTCTCTCAAAACAGAGATATTTCTGATCTTGTTTTCCTTGTTACCCTGTGGAAAAGAATGGCATAGTTTTTCGTAACTAGAACTCTTATCAGCTTCTATGATGTCTTTGACGAAATCATAGTATACAGATATAGATTTGTGCCCTCTCTTTCCCAAGATCTTAGGAACTGTAGAAACAATCTCAGTAAGCTCAGAGCTTGAAGCTCCTCTGGACTGCAGAGACTGAAGCTTAGGAGCAATGGACTTTGTCAGCATGTAATATAAGCAATCGTGGGTAAATCGTAATGATACTTGAAATCTGAGACTTTGTGAAGCCATAACTTGTAAGAAGACTCACAACAGAATCCGGATTTTCCTTGTCCTCGAGGCTGACTTTCTTTGAGATCGATTCTGCGAGTTTTGTGGTTAAACCCAATGAATCAACGAGGTAAGAGATGGTAAAGTTGTTCCCTTTAAGACCATCTCTAAGGCTCGCATCAGCAACACTAGTAAAAGAGAACGAATTTGACAAAGAAGATGCGGTTTGCACTGAAACTCTGAAATTAGGCAATTTCTCCAACTGGACCAACCTTCTTCCATGGTGTATCAGAGAATACATTACATAGAAAAGCTATTACCGAACAAGAAAGGCCACAGCTTGAAGCAATTTGACTAATCTAGCTTCAATCGATGAGTGTTCGAGTTCGAAACCCAAAAATCCAAATTTTGAAAAAAGCTAGGGTTTATGAGTTGTGGTGTCCGATACAAGAAGGTTTTTCGAATTTCCAAACTGAGCCCTGGACTACAATTACACGAATGGTCCTCACAAGAAAGTGTTTTTACTTTTTCTAAGCACCAATTTTACTTTTCCTACCAGAAATGAATATTTTACTTTCCTCTCCTTTCATGCAAATACTTCCATTTCAGAACCAATTGGATCAAACTCTTCAATTTCTGATGGAAATTCTTGTTCTTCTTCTACTTCTTTCTTTTCTCACCTCAGATTCGTTAGGTATACAAGTTTTGTTGCTATCTTTGTTATTGATCTTTTGCTGATTTCTTTTCTCGGCACTTCCTTTCATTGCCCTGAATGCTGCTAACTTTTCCACTACATAAAAAGGATTGGTCCCAATCGAATGAAAACTTTAACATGCGAGTTAACTGTTTAGAAAATTTAGTATGATCTGGTTGGTAAAGTCATATGGTTTATACTTCTAGTATGCAATGCTATCGAAAATGCAACTGAGATCATGATGTTCTTACAAGCTGTAGCCAAAAAACACAAACAATATCATCTCTATTAGTTGCACCAGTGGTAAAACAAGCTGAAAGTTTCTGCATTTATAAATTGAACTCTAAAATCTCTTCCTCTCGATGCCAATGAACTAAAATCGATTTTTATAATTGTGGTATGCAATCTTAAGATGATTGTAGCAGTAGGGATATAAAAACTGAACAATTACCACCTGCAAAACTTATTTTACAATCTATCATTAACTATAGGAAGGGTTTTTGCAGTAGGTTTTTCATTCGAGACACAGCGACAGTTAAAATCCTCAATTAGGATCCATTTTGATTCTTAGCTACAAATGCAATTCTTACTGAATGATATTCTATATGTTAGAATTCACACCTGAATAACCAAAGCATAACACGTCTCAACGTTTCTAGGTTACTAACGTTAAAGAGGTCAAGGGCTCTTAATAGACATTCAAAATTACTATTTTCTTTTCCTAAGTCGGATCAGATCTGAGTCAACTTGAGACTGCAAAACCATAAAATTGGGTTTCAGAGATCCATAGATAAAAAGCTCTTCTATTGCTTACATTCTTGGCATCAATCAACAAAGATCTAAAACATAAAAAAAAAAAAATCCTTGGCAAACCTTCTGATCTATGAAGCGTGCTCTTCAGTGAAGATAGCCATCAACTCGGCCACAAGCTGCTTGTCATCGTGCTTCCTGACATACATTTCCAAGAACTTCTCATCCGTAATCAAAACATACCGGAGTGGAGGGAGTTTGCTTCTTGTGTCTCCAAGCAGATCTTTTAAGATGAGAGCTTTGATTACGTTACACCTTGGGACAATCCTCTTCTCCATGCTTAATCCAAGTACCTGAGGGTTTGAAACCAGAGCCTTTAGTGGCCAATTCATCTTTTTCACCACAAACTCAGTCTTCTTCTTCACCAACTCTGCAGATAATCCAATGCACTGAGGAAACCGCTTGACTATCCTTACAAAGTCATCTCTGCTGAATCCTAGACCAAGAAATGTTTCAATGGAGTTGGCTACCTTCTTCTCCGAGTTTGCAAGAGAGAGTGGCCACTTCTTGAACATTGCCCATACATCTTCCACAGCAAAGCCTAACCTTTTATAGACATCGACTTTTTCTTCTATTGTTTTGTCGCTCATTCCGTAAACAGTGCACAGGGCTTCGACAAACGTTGAGGTGGTGGGATCAAAACCCAGATCAACGACCTTTCTGAGTGATACTTCAAAAATTTCTTTTCCACAGCAGACATGTTGATTGGAGATGAGCAGGGAGAATAACAACCTCTGAGGCACCCCCAGTTCTCTCAAAACCAATAAATTTCGGATTTTGTTCTCCTGCTTACTACCCTGTGGCAAAGAATGACATAACTTCTCGTACTTGGAACTCTTGTCCGCTTCTATAATGACTTTGACGAAATCATAGTATCTGCTGATAGTTTTGTGCCCTCTCTTTCCCAAGATTTTAGGAACTGTAGAAACAATCTGAGTGAGCTCAGAGCTTGAAGCTCCTCTTGACTGCAGAAACTGAAGCTTGGGACCAAGGGATTTCTCAGCATCTAATGTAAGCAATCGTGGGTAATTCGTAATGATGGTGGAGATCTGAGTATCTGTGAACCCATGACTTCTCAAAAGACTCAGAACAGAATCAGGATTACCCTTGCCAGAACAGAAGCTGACTTTCCTAGAAATAGATTCTGCGAGCTTTTTCGATAAACCCAATGAATCAACGAGGTAAGAGACTGTGAAAGTCTTGCCTTTTCGACCATCTCCAAGGCTCACATCAGCATCACTTGCAGCAGAAGAGAACGGATTGGAAAAAGTAGATGCATTTTCTACTGCAAATCTCAGATAAGGCAATTTCTGCAACTGGACCAACCTTCTTCCATGGAGAATCACAGAATACATTACAACAAGGTAAAGCTGATGCCGAACCAGAATTGAGCAGAAGAGAAGTAAGAAATGCCAAAGCTTGAAGCAATTCGACCAATCTATCTGACTCAATACGAGAAAACGACAGGATCAATCTTAAAGCTACCTCAAACTTGCTAGTGTAAGGGGTTTATGAACAAAAGATCGATGAGTTCTTCATCTGTTTCCTCGCGAAAACCCAAAATCGCAAAAGATCCAAACTTTGGATCTGGAGAAAACAAATTAGGGTTTTATGAGCAATTTCCTTATATGCATTGTACATACAAAGAGTCAAAGAGAATGATAATGAACAAAAACGTTTCTTCTTTCTGAGTATTTAAAAAGTGAAAAACAAAAAATGTAAGCTCTACAAATGGAAATGAGAAAATGTCATTTAAATCGTCAGTTGTTTATTTTCGTTGATTTAAAGCATGAACTATGCACTAGTGATTAAAATGCCCAATTTTATGTTTATTTTCAATTTAATCACGAATTTTCGTTGACAAATCCTGTAGTATAACCCGTCTCATGTTATTTTAAAAAATTTGCATGTTTAAATATTAATTTATAATATATTAAACTTTTCATTAAGTTTAAATATATCAATTATAGTATTAGAACTTTTTCAAGTTTAAAATTTACTATATCCGGTAAACTGTTCAACTAGAAAACCGAATTAAACCGTATACAAACTTTTAAATTTGTAAGCTTGTTAAGTTAAGTTTTTGCTCATTCGGATTTGGATTCACTTTAATCTTATTTATGATATGACTCTAAATCATTATCTAAACATTTAAGCCGGTGTAAGACATTAAATTCACACTTTTTCATTAATTGAGTAAACATAAATGGCGTCATTTCTGCAACAGTAACAACTTTATTCTATGGAGAATCAGAGAATACATGACAAAGACAATGTTATGCGATTACCAAACTGCTGTTGAAACGATTCGACCGAAATATCTGACTCAATTCGAGTAAATGGATCGCTCGTTAATAAGGAAGACGAACTTACTTGCAAAACCCTACATCGCCAAGAAAATCGGTTAATACTTAACCGACATTGGTATATAGAGAGTACCAAACCAATGATGGGTATTATCCATGTATTAGTTAATTTTGAACCAAAACAAAAAAAAAAATCAAATTATGGACAATTATTTAATCCAGATTACATCCGAAATGTATGTACTGAACTTTAAAAAAAAAAAAGAACAAATTAAAAGAAAATAATAAAATTGGAGTCTATGGTCCTCAATTGGGTGGAACCAATTTTGTTTGATGTGATTTTGAGCAGCTCCTCATCATATTGCAAAACTCTTGATAATTAATACTTCCATCCTTTTTTAAAACAAAAAAAAAATGAATTAGAGATTTTAAAATATCATGAAATGAAACAAATTATGTTTGGAATTTTATAAATTGAAATATTTGACTTACGTTATCAGCATCAACTTCTGAGATAATCTCTTTGATCATGGTATCATCTCCCATATTATACTCTTTCATTGCTGTTTCTAATTCTTGTCTCGAAATAAACCTACAAATACATATAATTTGGTTAATGATCCGGTTTAAGTCTGGTTTATCAGTTTGGTACATATCGGTTTTTGACACTTACCCGCTATTATCTTTATCGAAATGTTGAAATGCTTTGAACAAATTCTCCTCTCTTTCTACTCTGAACCGGTTCATAGTAGCTGAAATGAACTCAATGTAATCAATCGTACCGTTCCCATCGACATCAGCCTAACCAAAACATAACCAAATTGGTCAAAACCGGTTAATTTAAGTTAGTAAAGAGAACAAAACGCCTTACATCTTCCAAGAGCTGCTTAACTTCGGTTTCGGTTAACCTCGAACCGAGTTTTTCCAGTCCGGTTTTCAATTCCTCGTAGGTGATTGTACCGCTCTTATCAGTATCCATGTTTGCGAACATTGTCTTGAGACCCTTTAGTTCCTCTTCTTTGAGATTTTGCGCGATAAACTTAAACCAAAAAAAAACAAACCACATCATTGAATCAAAACAGGTCTAATTTCATCACTAAACCGAATCCTCAAAGATACTTACCTTCAATGCAAGCTTCTTAAGCTTATTCATAGCTCGGAGTTGCTTCATCCGCGACAAAACCGCGCTATCGATTGGCTTATCAGAAGCTTCGCCACCTTCTCGTATCCACGGATGTTCTAAAGAAGAACCAAAACCGGTTCAATTTCCCCCATTTTAAACAACAAACCCGAGTATTCTAGTAACCTTTACCTAAGGATCTGATTGATTCTTAACATATTAAGATGGAATGAGCAAAACCTTTACCTAGGACTTGAGCCGCAGTAAACCGTTTCTTGGGATCATACTTTAACATGTTCCTCACCAAATCCTTAGCACTCTCTGAAATCGACGGCCATGGTTCTGACTCAAAATCAATCTCTCCTCTCAAAACCTCCTCAAATATTCCCTTATCAGTCTCTGCACGCAATAACCAAAAATGTAAGAACTAGAAAACTAAAGAAACTAGAAAAACCAAACCAAGTGGTTCAGTTTCGTCGGGGTAAACAACTCGAGCAAAAAAAAAGATTTTACCGGCCCAAAACGGAGGAGTGCCGCAGAGAAGGATGTAGAGAATGACTCCAGCGCTCCAAATATCGATTGCTTTGCCGTAGTTTCTCTTCAGAACCTCTGGTGCAACGTAATATGCACTTCCAACAATGTCTTCATACACTCTCCCTGAAAAAAATGGATTCGTTTAGTCATGGAATTCAAGTTTATTTTTCGATGAATGTTACTCGGGTTTTACTTTTTAGATTCATTCTAAATCATGACATCCAAAATCAGATAGCAGTTGAAGAAAGAGGCAAAAATAGAAACAGAATAATAGTTTCTTGAGTAGCAGGAAACAGCGTAAAGATCGTTTCTTATGTTGCAAGAAAGAAAGTTTATCCCTTTATTTGGTTATATACCTTCTTCGATGAAAACTGAAACACCAAAATCAGTAGCCTTGAGCATTGAGGAAGCTTCATCTTTACTGGACAACAAGAAGTTTTCGGGTTTAAGGTCGCGATGAATCACACCCATGAAATGACAAATCTGTACAACTTTAACCACACTTCTAATGATCTCTGCGGCTGCTTTCTCTGAGTAATGTCCTCGTTTAGTGATCTTATCAAAAAGCTCGCCGCCTTCGCAAAGCTCCATTACAAGATGAACACTTTGTCTGTCTTCATAAGCTCCTTTGATCTCCACAATGTTCGGTTGTCCTGATAAGTAGTGCATTATCTGTATCTCCCTTCTTACATCCTCTCTGTCCTGTCACATTATATTTCATCAATTCTCTGGAGATTAATGCTCTAATTGGTAACATTTCATAATGGCGGATTCACAAAAACTAATGTATAAATGTAAGGGTTTATAAGGTTCTTGCCTGAGTTCTAATGAGTTTTCTCTTCAAGATGGATTTACAAGCAAAGTTCTTGCCTGATGAGATCTCTGTACATATATACGTTATACCGAATTGGCCACGACCTAATTCGCGACCGAGACTGTACTTCTCCTTAATGTCTTCAAATGGTTTCCCTAAGATCGGTTCTGGTTGTTGCAGGCTGCTCTGTTTTTGATGATTGATTAGCTTTTGTTTTTCTTGATGCTGTATAATTGGAAGTGGAAGTTTATGAGGTTGCACCACAATCTGGAAATTGGCTCTTGGAGCTGATTGTCTTTGACGAGGTTGTTGTTTTGGTGTTATTTCTCTGCTCCGTACCTTTGTGTTTTGTTCTCCATTGTTGTCTGGTGTTGGTTTCTTGAGCTTCTTCTTCAGATTGATGCAGAGACATCCCATTTTTTTTGTACTGAAGAAGGAAATTTTTAGGACATAGCCTTAGAAGAGTTAAGAGATTTGATGTGTTTAATGTATTTGTTGGGTTTCATAACTGACACCTAAGCACGTTAGTGAATTATGTTCCAAGTCGAATGTGAGATAAACCAAGAAGAAATATAAATTTTCAACAACTTGCAACATTTTATTCTTGTTTTGTATTTTCTATATTAAAAATTGAAATTTTCGTGTGGTATCTTTGAAAACTTCCATGGACAACAAGAAAAGAAAAAGGTCAGATATTAATAATACCAAATTTAATGTTTATACAAAACTAACAATGTGATAGGCTTTTTAAGTGGCAGGCATGTTATAAATAGTGATTTCATTGATAGAAAAAAAATTTGATCTAATTTTCTATTAATAATCGGAAGATTCGGTCTTCTTCCTCGAGGAACACGTTTCCATATTTCGAAGTTGCGATCTCATAGTTACTACTGTTTCCTTGTTAGGGTTCTTTATAAATAGTGATTTCATTGAATTAAATGTGTCACCATTGCTTAAAGTGTGTTAATAGGTAGAATTCAGAGTCATGTCGTCTAGAAAGAGATTCGATGTGAGATTAGGGTATTATGGGAAATGGAGGAAGTTTGTATGGTTCAAGATACTTGTGTTCCTGTGGAACAGAGCTGTTGGGCTAATATGCCTCATGAGCTTCTGAGAGATGTTCTGATGAGGATAGAGCGATCCGAAGACACTTGGCCATCAAGGAAGAATGTTGTTTCTTGTGCAGGTGTGTAGGAACTGGCGACAAATTGTCAAGGAGATCGTTAAATTTCCTGAGGTTTTTAGCAAATTCACTTTTCCAATCTCCCTGAAACAGGTCAGATTTCTATGTTTTACTTTATAACTGACTTATGTGCTTTCAGACTAATCTTTCCTCTGATTTCTCTTATAGCCGGGTCCAAGAGGATCACTTGTTCAATGCTATGTTAAGAGAAACCGTAGCAGTCAAACTTTCTATCTATTCCTTGGAGGTGAAGAAATTCTTTTGTCTAAGTAGACCTAATGTGTTTGTGAATAACAGTCACTTTTTTTTCCTTGTCAGAAACAGCTTCAAATGATGATGGGAAGTTCCTTATTGCACCCAAAAGGTTTATGAGGCCAACTTTCTCTGAATATATCATCTCTTTAAACTGCGATGATTTCTCGAGCGGAAGCAATACCTATATGGGAAACCTAAGGTTGAGTCCTGGTTCATTTTTTCATATATTGGCCTTAACTCCTCTTCTCTTACTTGAATTTTCTTTCGGGTCTAACTATCTAGGGACCAAGTTCATTGTCTATGATGCTCAGGGGAAAATCCTGGAGCTCAAAGTGCAAGCATACTTGTCAGTTTGGAACAAGTGAGCCTGAGAAGTCAATCTGGAAACTATCCTAGAGCACATATCTCACGTGAGATTCTTAAAGTCAAGATCTTGGTCTTGGGTTCCAGGTGATATTTATCTCCTTCCATACAGAGAGTAAAAGATGTTTTGCTTTTTGTGGCTTTCGCTAATTGTGATCATTGTTGTGTCAAACCAGAATAACGAAGCATAAGAGGACTCATTGTGTCATGGATGTCATCCCTGCATCAGCAGTAGAACCTGGAGGAACAACTCCAACTCAGACAGAAATCGATAATTTCGTGTCATTCAGGTCCCCTTCTGGTCAAAAGGCGAAGGAGTGCCAACTAATGATAACTTCTGGTCAAAAGCAAATCTAAACCTTAGGGGTTGTTATTCAACGATGGAGTTAAAGTCAATTCTTTAAGGTTTAGATTTGTTTTCTAATATTGTTTTTAAGAATCTTTTTGTATGGATTTCAAAATCTCTGCAGTATATCTTGGATTTTGATTCTAATAATTTACTCATAAAACTCCAAAGAGATTTCATTTCAAATGATTTAATATACAAGATTTTACAAGTCTTTTAGTTTTGAATAACACTGGATTTTAGTGAAGTATTTTAAATCTTAGTTGAATAACACCAAACTATTTAAATCTAATGAAGTATAAGATCCAATAACACCAGATTTTAAAGTTAAATTTAGAATCACTAGTTAAATAACACTGGATTAGTGGTAGATTTCAATTCTATTAAAATCTTTCATTGAATAACACCATCTTAAAGAATTGACTTTAACTCCATGATTGAATAAAACCCTCTTATTATAATATTGCCTCAGATTAGCATTTCTTGGGAAAGAAGCTGGAAACGAAAGAAAGTCTTGATCCGGTTTTATATCGCTTATTAACTGGTCATATAGCTGAAGTCTTGATCCTGTTTTTGGCACAAAAGAATTATCAAGTGTTTGAAACCCTCTAAGGGAATTAGAGGTTTTTAGAAGACGAATCTCCTGAAGCCTCCGGTGAATCTGATAGGCAGCAAGAGCTCCGGTGCCAAGATTTCAATGCCAAAGGCTTATTTTGTAATAGCCAAACCGTTTCATTTATATGATATTAACAGTTATAGCAAAAAAGCAAGAGCTTCGGTGCTAATTTAATCGATGGTGAGCTCTTATTTATTCTAACCTTCCTCTATTAATGTAGATCTTGCTTGTGTCTCAAAATTTAAGAATACACAATGAGCAAGAAGAGAGGAGTACCAAGTCAAGATAGGATAAGTTTGTTACCTGATCATTTGCTGTGTCAGATACTCTCTGATATTCCTACAAAGATTGCTGTTACAACTGGTGTTTTGTCCAAGAGATGGAAAAGTGTCTGGCTTTCGGTTCCTCTCTTGGATTTGCAAGTGTTGTCCATGGCTTTCTTGATATCTCTAGGGAGACATGCATACACAAGCTTAAACTTGCTCATAAGAGAAATCAGCGTGATCATCAGTCTTACTTGACGCAGTGGATCCACAATGCGGTTATGCGTAAAGTTCAACATTTGAATATTTTATCATGTTGTTGGAGTTATTTAGGTACAGAGCTGATGCCCCTTAGCCTTTACACATGTGAGACTCTTGTATCCTTGAAACTCCATAATTTGTCATTGCCTGATTTTGATTATGTTTCTCTATCTTGTCTCAAGATATTTTATCATCCACAATGCGGTTTTGATATATTGATGCTCCTGGAGTACTCAGCTATTTGAGTCTTAGAGATGACCAGCTAAAAGTCTCGTAATAAGCAGTTTGATATCACTTGCCAAGGTACACGTGAAGAGCCCGAGTTGGTGCAAGTGTTTGTAAAATCCAGTCTTGCACAAACTCATTTCTCTTCTTCACATCTTAGAACCAATATCTTTGAAGTCCTATTTGCCTTGTCATGACAACCAAACCTGCAGCATTTCAAGTATTTAATAAATTAACTTTTTGTTGAAAAAAAATATTAAAACGTTTTGTACAAATAATATTGAAAAAAATGATACAGAATATGTAGCATAAGCTCTGTTGAAACTTTAGGAGACAATATTTGATTATTGAACACCATTGGCTCTTTGTAAAGATATTATAGAGAATAATGTTTCCTTTTTATTTTTTGAGAAATTGTTAAAAATGCCCCTTTTTCAATACCCCTTTTCAAAAATACCCCCTTTGAGAGTCCATTTTTAAGTTTGCCCTCTTTTAATTTTTAATGACCATTTTACCCTTATTTGAAACAAAATTAGGTCCACAAAATACAAAATATTTTTTGGCGGGAAAAGTGATCCCGCAATTTTCCCGCCAAAACCCTTGTAAAAACCTTTAAAAAACCTTGTAAAATTTTCCCGTAAAAATTTTTCCCGCCAAAAAATTTTCCCGCCAAAAAATTTTTTTTGCGGGAAAAGTGATTCCGCAATTTTTTTTGCGAAATTTTTTTGGCGGGAAAATTTTTGGCGGGAAAAATTTACAAGGTATTTTAAAGGTTTTTTACAAGGTATTTACAAGTGTTTTGTAAGGTTTTACAATGTATTTTAAAAGGTTTTACAAGGTACTTTTAAGGTTTTATAAGGTATTATAACATC